CTTTTCATATCACGTATGTGTTACACATCAACACGACCACAAGCTATCAAAGTGGAAGAGCGTGTAGTAAGATATCATCACTAACAAGTGACATGCAGGTATCGAATTTTTGTTCATCTGTAGACTTTGCATCCACGTAAAAGTGGTAATACCGTATTAACCGCACGAGGCTGGATAGGCGAGGACATTTGGAGGCGCAAGAAAGAACCCGACAAGCAGGAAACGTATTCTATTTTTCCGCTGATGCTCATTCGCGATAGCTATACTGCATCGACCCCTCTGCGTATACTTGAATGCTTCGCACATCAAAACACACCAATATAGCTGAGACATACGAGCGAACATGAATGAAGCATGCATCCTCGGGCACCTCTGCAGTGCTGCTTGGAACGGCGTCCATTTCGGAATCACTGTTCTGAAAAAGGTCGATCGAAGCAAAAATAATTCGCGACGTCGCGAATCGCGGGGATTCCAAGCTCCACACTATTGTATTGAACCCGAGTCGACACTTTGTACGGGGACGACAGCAATGCAGGTGACAAGGCATGTCTGAAAGTGTCCGCCTAGCAGACGAAAAGTTTGCGGAGTAGCTGTGGCGTGATCTGGAGGTGACCGCGAGGTAGCGCCACTGCTGGTGCTCCCAGTGCTAAAAATGGCGGGATTGCCGGCCGTTGTTGAATAGTGCTAGATCCCAGTAATATAGATCAATAAAAGTGATAGTTAGTCATCTCTCAGTTGCGTTTTAGGTCGCGAATCGCTGCTACGGGGTCTATAGCTACTCGCTGACACAAAACACTTGGCATGAGTAAATTTGATGTCAGTGCTCCTTTATGGTGCATTCAGACGACGGATCGAATCCCGATGTGGCGGGACGGACGGCGCGTCACGTGGCCTCACAACAGCGATTCCCCTCGTCCGCGTGGCTCGCGGACGGATGAACCCAACCCATTTCTTACATCGGGATTCTGGCGGGGGAGAGCCGGTACTTCAGCGGAATAGTTTGGGGTCGGTGGCAACCAGTACACTTTTCGTCTGCTCGCGGCATGTCCTCCATGGCTCGCGGACAGCTGCATGACTGGTTGGCATCATCTACGCTTGAGCATTGTTTACTTAGTTTCCGGAGACTTTGTTCTCAGGTGATTAAATATGCAGAAATCACTTTTGGTGGTTCGGGAAATGTCGCCGCCGTCGCTTAACACGCGAGATTCTTAGCCGTTATGGTGGTGAAATATTCCAACTTCTGCAACCGGCGACGTGCCGCTTCTAAAAAAAAAAAAAAAAGGCGGGAGACACGTTTAGAAGTTCTACAAGTGGGGAATAATGTAGTTGAAAGAATATCCTGCTAGCAACTCCCTTTTCTCCTGAAAGAATAACACTACTCGTTCATTTGTCACAACACGACAGACATCGCAGCCAAGCTTCGCTTCTTGCGGGCATCCATGTTGAATACTCTCAAACCTGTCTGCTGCCAGCGGGCGCAGGGCAGCGCCGAATCTGCTGTCGAGGGTAATCCGGCTGTTTTCCCCTAGGACACCGTCCGCCGTGCGGATGCGCCTGTAGGCGGATCATCCGCGGATTAGCTGTCCGCGTCCATGACAAATCCGGATTCGGTCCGTCGTCTGAATGCACCATTAATGTAGGTATGTATGTGCTCGTGGATACTACAAGCTGAAACTCTGTGTACAAGCTGAAACTCTGTGAAAATGCGGAAGAATCGGCTAATGAGAGGCACAATTCAGAAAGCATAAAGCAGTGGCAAGAATCAGAGAGAAGAAAAAGCTGCACCTGTTCTGCAATCAGAGAGCAATAAACACCTTTGGCCCTTAGTCTTGTCGGACAACGACATCGCAATTAAGAGCGATCGTTCACGGAATGACGAACGCGCCTTCCTTTTTCTAACAATTTTCTACTTTTCTTTATTTTCCCAAATACATTTGGAGTGTTTTCAGGGCTAATAGCTGCTATCTGCAGCCTGACAACTCTTTTAAACACGTACGTGTGTCGTATATCTAATGGCTAAAAAACTGCATATAAGGAGAAAGAAAAAAAAAAAAAAGAGGGCCCTTGCTGCTGAATCACATCTTCGGACAGCACACACAGAGAGTGGTGGTGTACATTGTCAAGGTGTTAACACCACCTGGAAATATGAATTCCGGAGACCCCAAGCCCTTTTGCATTCCTCTGTACTGCAGGCCACATCCATGAAGAATGCAAACGAAGCACGCAGCTGCTTACACTCGCAAGCCGCTTGTCCCAGAACTTAAACTGTTGGGCAAATGAGTTCTGCGCTATCTTTCTAGTTTGTAGAACAACATGTTAAGAAATAGATATTGACAACATTACAATGTTTTGGCAAGTAAGCAGCTGTTTTTCTGAAAAATCTGTATAAATTCTCTTGTGGCTTATTGCTACAAGCAAGTTCTTGCGAATTGCCTTTGGTCTATAGTGTGGCTTGCTTTATTGTGGTATTTACCCACCACGGCTGCATTTCATTCGGTGCCTAGTCAGTGTTCAGTCTACAGTAATTATTTTGAGTCGAGAAGGCAGTCACACAACCTTCAGTTAGCACATTTTGATATATATTAGCTGTGTGAAGGTGTATTGCTGTGTTCCGTCACGGCCGCTCGATCGTTGTGGTTTCGTATTGCAAGTCCCGTTTGGGAAAAACACCCAGTGTTCCTTCTCACAAATTCCCAAACAACACTGAGCTGTGTGGCAAGTGACAAAAGAATATTGCGAGAGACGTCATCATCAACGACAAGTTTGCATCAACAGTCGTATGCAGCAGACCTTTGCACAATGAAGACTATGTGCCTGCGTTCCACATCAGAAAACTTATTCCTGACTGCGCACGCACCTACTCTTTTTGAGAACTATCTTTCCTACATGATTTACAGTGCATAGAAGCCTCGCAAAGATCCTGCTTCACAAGTTTGGCCCCTACGTCAATCAAGGAAGCAAAAAGCAGAGACCAACGAAACAGATCTGGATGTTGCAAATTCACAAGACTCTTACATTTAACAAGCAGCAGCAAGTGTTAGCACGCAAAAAATAAACAGCAACGCTCATCGGGTGCGTCGATACCAGACTATGATAGAACGATTGCGCTCCCAAGTGTCGCACCATCGTTCAAAATGTGACAAAGTGCAGCGATTGCTGAAAGAATAAAAAATGCGTTCCAGTATTATTGCAAAAGCAAGCGTCATGCATGTGATAATAAAATTGCAGCAGATGCACAGAAAGGAGAAAGGCAGTGTTTCTTTTGCATCAAATAGAATGTGACGGAAGAAAGCCTTCAGCGTACCCAGGCGATTTTGTAAGGGGTGTGTGGTATGCCGCTTTTTGTCACAAAGAGGCTATGATCATGCGCGCACTTCGGGGCTTGTGACACTGCCAGCAAAGTGCACTCTTCAGAGGTGTATAGGTTCAAGCCCAGCATCATCAGGTATGAGCAATGCCATAGACCATTTGTGCATCTTCAATAATTAAGCAACTTGTTTTTTAATGCACGGTGAGTAGAGAAGCGCGCCCAAACTCGTGTGTTCGCACGCGTTACAGAGCGGCAGAAGATGGCAGGGAAGCAGCGCCCCCCTCATAGATGTGGCAAGAGACATGTACTACACCCGTTGCAAAGACCAAAAGACCGTAAGAAGGGAGCGCACAGGTGCAGTCTAGCCGGCCGTGACTTGTTTTGACGTGCCGGCGTGGATATAGCCGATGATAGATTCTTCCAAATCTGACTTTGGGGCACTTTCCGTTGATATTATCACGATGGCACAGTAAATTTGATTTGGCGCACTTTGGCGCAGGGGTGGGATCACTGCAAAGGGCTTCATGTTAACTATGGTGCTAGTATTGCCCAGCTGCTAAACAAGTTTTCTGGCTTTCCGAGGTGCCTCTAGTGGCAGAGACCTAGCATGACAGAAATTATTCTCACTGCTGCAACAATGAAATGAATTGCTGCACAATGATTATACAAGACTGTGTCTAAGGAAGACTGACACATTATGTAATGGCTTGTACCTGTTACGTACCAGTGGTTTTCTAGCTCCTGTTAGAACAGTTCTGGCAGAGTCACTACACCTTCTTTAAATACACACATCCAGTACTTATGTTTGCCTAAACCTTGACAAACCACATGCAGAAAATGCTCGATAGTTTAAAGGTCATCCCAGCCAAAGGTACATACAACCAAACTTCTGCCTAGAAATCGTTACAGCACGTTTTCATCAACTAGGGAGGCTACTACGGTAGTTTTGCAGTGGGGTGTTTTTTGCTGCAGTGGTCTGAGAGGTATACGCAAAACCACACCTACCACATTCTTACAATGGATTTCCTTTTGAAGGTCTTTGTTTTCTAGAATACAACTAGTGAACTGACTTTTGCAGGTATGTGCCTACTTCGAAAAAACTGTCTTCCCACGAGTCAAGCTTCATATAAATTAGGCAAACAAACTAGTTTTCTGCACGCGTATTGAAGATACCAAAAGAAACCTTCATGACGTCAGTACTTGCACGTTGAGAGGCAACAGTCACGAGCAACGAGCGCCCTAATCCTAGCCATGTTAGAAACAATTAGAAAAAAAAAAACTAAATCAAAACCAGTACATCGCGGTTCTTTCGCCGAAATGAACGCGCGCACTGATATTGTTTTCCTTTTTAAAGGCCTAAAATGCCCTGACGTGAATAGTCGCACTATTATACCGACTTAAAAACGACAAGGGGAACAAAAACAATCAAGCGCAAGAAGTTTCGATATGCAACGCGGTTTTAGATCGTCGCCGGCTAGCTACAACCGATTAGCCGGCAATGCCCACATTTGCGCCGCGTTTGCCACGAATCGCTTGGCTAGTGCAATATGAGCTAATGTATTTATCTGTTGGCCGAGCTCCTAAAAGATACATAGAACCAAGAGAACTACCTGCACCTAAGAAGCGCTGTGCTCCTTCCAGATGCAAGTGCAGAAAAAAAAAAAAAAAGATACAGAACGTGCTAACTTACCGCCCGATCACAGTAAGTGGTCATGAGCTTCCGCAGTGGCGTGTGCTTTTTGATTTTAAAATGCACAACGCTGCCATCCTGTCCAACAACCTTCAGATTTATATGCTCGTTGTCGGGTTTGACGTCCTGGAAATCGGAAGAAGGGAATCAAGCGCGGAACGATTTGGAGCGAACTTTTGTAAGCGCGTGCATTCATTAAGACACCACAGTGAGCAACTGAAGGAGTTCTACGAGTTGTTCAGCATTCGCCAGCACATTGGAACGTAGGCGAATAGTGCTGCAGAGAGAACTACCGGCTTGCTACCGCCAACAACAAGGCGAAATTTCCCCACTTAAGCCTAATTCAAACACTCGCCGCAACATGGGCTGAACGCGGCGATACGTTTCTCGACTCACTCCCGAAGTGTTAGCGCAGCAAAATCCGGGCCAGTGCTACTGTAATACGTACCTTTTTGTCTTCCGACATTTCGCTCACGCCGAAAAGACACGCTAAACGTTTTTACTCTCACAAAATGACAGAGAGCCGAAAAGCGGGCCGATGAAGCAAGCGGCAGTATGAAGCGGCTCACTGCGGCTGAATGACAAAAAAACTATCAGCAACGAAAAAATTCAAAAACAAGCAAAAGCGGCTACTTGCGTTTTGTTGGCAGCGTTCGCAACCGACGTTATCTTATTTGATAAAAAAGATTTTTTACTAAAACTAACGCTTTGTTTGAAAAACAAGAAAATAACAAAACTGAAACCAATTGGGTATGGAAGTGAAACTAGTGGTGCTCATATTCTGAAATCGTTGGCTCGAACAGCAGCGCGTTTCGCATGGCGCTTAATCGTCCTTAGTGTTCGTTGAAGTAAACTAGTGGTGAACTAAAGTTTTCGTGGGTGCACTGAACTGCTACTGAACTTCACCTTCGCAGTTGTCGTTGTATTTCATTATTTGGTGTTTATTGTGAGATCCGCTGAACAAAGGGCGCGACAATGTCCGAAAGAAAAGTTCTCAACGTAAGTGCTGCGTTCGATATGTTTTTGAACTTATTTGTGAACACCATTTTCACGCGCAGTACTCCCAATGCGCTATGCTCTCTGTTTCTCTCACATCAGAAATACTATCCTCCGGACTTCGATCCGTTGAAAATACCGAGACTTCGGCTTCCTAAGGACAGACAGTACACGGTTCGTCTCATGGCTCCTTGCAATATGAGGTAAAGTTCAACCAGGAGTTTGTCGACGTAAACACCCGTTATATGCAAAATATCTTCGTTTTTGCAGGTGTAAAACGTGCGGCGAGTACATCTACAAGGGGAAGAAGTTCAACGCACGGAAAGAAACTGTGCAGAATGAAGATTACCTGGGGATCAAAGTGTTCCGTTTCTACATAAAGTGCCCACGCTGCCTTGCTGAAATAACTTTTAAGGTATGTTGTCATTTGTGTAGTTAAGCACCTGGGCTTATTGTACCAATTACTAGCCATCAAATACCCATTTGGTTACTTTCCGTTGCCGTAATGACCTTAGTTAACGCTCAAGTTTTTAAGGCGAGAGCCTTTAATAACTCAATCTCGCGTCCGCCCGTCCGTCAATCCTGTGATTGCTGACAGAGTAAAAAATAATAAAAATGCTTAAATTTAGTAATAAACATGGCCTAGTTATTTGAATGGTCACATGATTTTGCCAAACACCCTTTGGAATTTACAAGGTGTCCACGTTCTTTCCCACCTTTTCATGGATCGGCATGGTCAACACTTGCAGCAGGCTGCCCATTGGCAAATAGAAGCCACCACTGAGATGAAGGAGCCCTTCCAGTGTAACAAATGTGAAACCTCGTTGTATGAATCCTTCATCTGGAAGCCAGTTTCAGATGTCGAGCTCCTGTCCATCCATCCGTCCATTTGATGGCGGGTACAACATCCACGAGTATCACTTTAGCAGAACAGACTGTTGGGCTAGTTCAATATCCATGAACACTGAAAAAAGTGAAGAAACTGAGGGGCACAAGAGGAAGAGCAGGCACAGGACATGGGCTGTGTTGTGGTGCCTTTTATCTTGACAATTTGTTACCGCTTTCAGTAATATGGCATGTGAAAGGCCAGTCTCTCATGCATTTTCTTCATTTCCTAGACAGATCCTGCTAATTCTGACTACATCGTGGAGCACGGCGCCAGCAGGAACTTCCAGGCTCTCAAGCTGGCCGAAGAGGCGGCCGAGCGTGAAGCCAAGGAAGAGGAAGAGGAGGAAAAGAACAACCCAATGAAGGTTAATACAGCAAATTGATTTGTTTTCCTCTTTCACTCGTCTTTTCATAGTCGGCAGTTGCAGTTTTCGCACACTGCCTGCCTTCACGTTCTGTGCTTCTATGTTGTTTTTAGAGGAAACGAAATCAAGGAATGTGGAGTTGATGTGTTAATCACATAAGGCTGTAGTATTTATTACGCACTTGATGAAATGACGCGGTCCTGCAACAGCTCTTATTCCTTGCAGGTACAGCCGCTTCTACTGGCTGTTTTCTCCAATGTACAACAAAATAGGTTTCATTTCCTTATCTACCCCCCTGCGAATTGTAAACACCAGTTGATGGACCTGGTATCTGATCGAGCGACATCACACATGCTCATGCGAGTTACCCTAGCTGCATGCACGTGTACACCCGATAAAAAAATTGTTCCAGCTGGGGGATTACTGTTCTGGGTCCCTAATGTTAAAGAACGATTCTTTAACCATTATGCCACTGGCACTTGTCTCAGCAGGGAGATTAGAACTCCTTTAGCAATGACCCACGCATTCTGACCTACATATTCACTGGTTGCGAACTTCATTCTCTGCTGAACGACACCTAAACAAATACTACCTCATCAAAACGAACACGAGAAATGTTTGTCATTAGTAGCACGTTTTTTTTTAAATTAAGTAAACCTGTTTATGCCTTCTTTCCCAGAGTTTCTGGCTTGTAGTGTGTGATTGTGTTGTGCTTACCTACGATATGCAAAGACGCTGAAAATATTTGTTGCATGGTTTTCACTGTAATTAACTTTTTACATAAGTTTGGAACTTGAACAAAGAAGGCTTGAACAACAAACTTGAAAGTCACTTTTTTTACAGATATATTAAAGGTAATGTCATGCTTCGCGTATTGTAATCAGGCATTGATGTTTTCACTCATTTTGCGGCCGATTGAATCAAAAATAAGCCCCCGCCTCGTTTCCAGAATGTATTAGAAACTTGAAATCTTTTGTTGAGTGGCTAGCAGCCCTGAAATTGAAGACAAGTGAAGTTTACAAATAACGCCACGAGTTGTATCATCTGCAAATAAAGCTGAGCATGCACTTTCTTTTGAACATTGCTAATGGCCAATCATGATTGCAGCTGCTGGAGAAACGGACAAAGGCATCCAAGCAAGAGATGGACCTGATCGAGGCCCTTGAAGATCTGAAGGACCTGAATAAGCGGCAGGCGAACGTCAATTTTGACGACATGCTCGGACGCTATGCTGCTGAGAGGGAAGCCATGCTTCAGAAGCAAGAGGAAGAGGATGAAAAATTTATTGCGTGAGCCAATATGTATATAATTCCCAATATTGCCACTTCTAGTTCAGAGCATAGCAGATGCAGTCGATCCCAGTTATATCGAACTTGGAAGGTATCGCGAAATAGTTCGATATATCGATGATTCAAAAGACAAAATGTGCACATTTAACGCCTAAGTTAAACAAGGTGTGAACTGCAAGTTACCGCACTTTATTTAGCATGAAACTGTTTCGTAAACTTGTCTTGCTTCTTGCTCGCCGTCAAGTTTCAGTCATCCTCAATATCTTTTAAGCTTTTCAAATAGGCCAATTCTGCTCCTTTGGCCACAACAGCGTTGATTGATGCAGAATGTCGATGCATGCCTTAAAGTGCGGCAAAAGGTTGGTTAGCGGCGGCAGCGAAGGCGTCGGCATATTGATAACCGCGTGGGTAGACTTCCGTGGCACGTACCGGCAACGGCAGCCATGATATTAGCATCGATGCAGTCTGAAACAGCCAAGCCATCTGTGCCAATGAAGTCGCTATGGTGTCTGATATGGTTCCCAAAAATGCTGATAAGTCACAGAATTCACTGAGGCCCCGTACGCCACTCTTAGTGATGTCTGTTTTGAGAAATTTGTTGCCTTGGATAGCAACGTCGATCCATGCAATCCACAAACGAAGAGATAAATTGTGCAGATGGTTCGGCTAGTGGACTACGACATAGAAACTAACCGCCACCGAGGACTACCGATGTTGCTGCTGCTCTTGCGCTGTGTTTTTTTTTAGTTTTGTTTAAGAAGCACTTCAACATGTGTAGTGCTTGGAAAACTTGCCAGCTGCAGCCAGGTTCGGCAAGAGAAGATAACAGACTATTTTTGTAGAGAACTTTCAGGTGTGATGCAATAAAAGTATAGTTTTTTTGTGCATTTTGCTTAATTGAAAGTGGTTTAATTTAAAGTTTTTTGCAGTTCCTGTGAACTTCGTATTAACAGGGAGTCGACTGTATGCACGTACGCTACGCACACGTGAACTTACGTACAGGGTGGTTAAACAGCACCCCACCTCCAGAAAATGTCAGCCGTAGGACCCTGATGAATGTATTCATCAATATAAAACTCATAAATAGTCAAAGTAAATTAATTTTCAATTAACCTGGATAGATTTCTGGAAATTAGCGATCGGTTACTTCAGTGGAATGGTGGTAAATGCATCATTTGGAAACAAGCCTGTTCCTACATAAGTTGCACTGCATTGTGTCGGAAAATAACCAAGCGATGTGCCCACAAGTCGAACGCTCCAAAAGCCGGAACAATCACTTTTTGCAGTTCCTCCGAAATTTTCTGCGAGCTGACAAACCTAAACTGTCAGCGTCCCGCATTTGATGAGAACACAGCACCGTCTGTGGACACTGTGTTGTAAATGTAGGCATGAACACCTAAAGTTTGTCCATAATAAATATATTTCAGGTTTCACTACTACAGTTCACTCGAAAGAAACGTACGTCACTGGCAGGGGCATAACGAAAAATCTTCTTAGTGAGCTACACCCACCCTTTATGCATATTTGCACATGCGTTTGTGCACACGTATGCTCGCATGCGATACAAAATGTTTTCGGGGTGAGAGATTACAGCGGCTTAGAATGAAAATGGGTAGCACATCATCTTGCGCAAAAAACAAGCATATGCGAAAAATACTTACACTCACACACATAAATTTCATAAAGCGCTTGCTTAAATAAACAAAGCTATACTCTGCATTTAGTGAAACCGGAGTATTGACAAGAATGCACACATGCTAAAAATGGTGTACTCGCATCGCGAGCAAATTGATTAGCACAAACTACCGTAGTGTCCATAACATTTTTTTCAATGCATAAATTTCTAATCAAGGCCGTTCTCCGTCGCACGTCATCTGCATCCTTCGGGAAGTGATAGAACAGTATGTAGCCATTTTTCCACCGCGATGACACGAATTTTGGTGCACAGTAATGGTCTTTGAACATCACTTTCTTTTTGCGGGGGGGGGGGGGGGGGGGGCGCATGCGGCAGTTTTAGTTGTGGCCGCTAGGTGGCAAGTGCTCAGTTTGAATCGCTAATAGCAGTACTATTAATAGTAACATTAGTACCCAAATACAAAATCTTTCACCTTAGAGGCACTCATTCTAATTAAGCGTGGTTACCAATATTCTGCTGTACTTGGCCAATGCAAAGTGTTACAGAAAGCTTTGTGCTATTATTGCTACCAGCTGCTTTACACTTCACTGTTACACAAGCCCTGCCCACTGTCGTGTCATAGAAATCGCAATTTTTTTTTTTTTTTTTTGCGTAATGTCATCCTTCATAACAGTGCTCCTGCCAGCTCTTCAGAGATAGTAGGCGTTACTTTGCGACTTCTGTCCTGAGTGATTCGCTATGTCTTTTCATGTTCAAGTAGCCATTGCTCATTATCCAAAAATTCTGGTCTCTCAGAGCAACTTATCTGAGTGCTTACTAAAGCATTAGCTGTGCAAGTATCTGTGAACCACCAAGACTGATGCTGCACTACCTTATTTCAGCTTAGCAGACGCTGTCGGCTTCCTTACTATGTAATGACGCTGTCGGCTACTTTACCTATGATTCAGCCAGCGTTGTTTGCCCCTAGACGTTACACTTCAACGGGGAACACATTCACTCCCTGCCTTTCAGGCTTCTTAAAATTTCTATTTTAGCAAGCTCCTTTGCGATTTACTTGGTTCCTTTATACTTTTCCTATCTCAAGCTCATCGATATGGCATGCTAGAAAAACTTCTGTTGCACTACACAGATTCCTACAACAACTATTCTTATGTCATGATGAAGCTGCCTCTCTGTAATAAATAACCCAGCAGAAGCTGCCTCTTTGTAATAAATAACCCAGACAGATCTTCTGCGCAATGAACTTGTATAGTTCAGGTTTTTTTGCTTGAAGACCTACGCATGCACCTTTTCTGAGCATTGCCAGTTGGTAGAGTAGCAGTGAAAGCCCTAACTTGTCTCACCGTCACGTTTTAAATTCCAGCTGGTGTTTATTTCATGCTGGCACCTGTTAACAGCGGTTGTGCCCCTTCTTTGTCTCATGGCATTATGTATAAATACATCTACATCCAGGCACTAAACAAATGAAGATTCAGTTACCACAGAGTCGCCCTTGTTTGAATTCCATATTCATTATAATTCTAATTGCTTATATCTGTAAGAAAGATTTTGTGGTAGGTTTTATTTGTAATTGTGAAGGTAGTCGTTTAGTGAGGCTATCAGGAAAGAATGAAATGGGTCCATGTTTTTAATTGTCTTTCCAGCCTATGCCTAGAAATATGCAGCTAGTATGTGTGCGCTTTATGCACAAGATGAAGATGCATCGCAACAAAAGTTCAGTATTATGGAAACCTCGACTTTGCTTCACTCAGCAGGGACAGTGCTGCTACAGTGCTACAGCCTCTGGTGCTTATTTGTTTTGCCCTTTATAATACGAAATGTTCTAGCTGAATTAATATTTAGACACAGGAATTGAAAACCTGAATGCATATGCAGAAGAAAGAAAAAAAGGATGACACGAAGTTAGCAGTTAGCTGTATGCAGTGATAAAAATTGCAGTACTCTCTTTCTTATTTTTTTGTTCAGGTCCGTTTTTGGAAAAAATGAAGGCGCCACAGTGAAAAGAATTATTGAAGACAGTGACGAAGACAGTGGGGAAGAAGTGTTGAAGAAGCCAAAAACAACTTATGCAAAACCTACGGATATCCTAGCAGAGGTAAGCTCTTAATATCCAAGGAAACCGACGATCAAAAGGCTACGTAGGCTGTGACGGATGTCTCACCATATTGGGTATGGAATTGTGTTGTCGAGCCTGAGGTTCTCGTTCGTTACCAACTATTGTGACTGCATTCGGGAGGGGGGGGGCAGAGGTGGGAGGAGTACAAGGAATACTGTGGGCGAATAACTAGTGGTCTACTAAATTTACAAATTGGGTGATAAGAAGATGGATGGCAGTCTAAGAGGTAGGTGTTATGATGAAATGAGGAAATATGCAACTAAAGGGTGGTACTCGCCATGGTGACTGAGTGGTTTTTGTTCTGAACTGTTAAGCACTAGGGCATAGGTTCGATTCCCAGCCTTGGTGGGTGCATTTTGATATACTGAGATTTAGGTGCACTCTAAATAAACCCACATGGTCAACATTACACTCAAACCTGGATATACCGAACTCGTATATAACTAAATATCACTTATAACGAAGTAAATGAAAAATAGTCTTGCAATATACTGTATTTACTCGTGTAATGAATGCACTCACATAATAAATGCACCCCACAAATATTTAATGCTGCATTAGACTAATAGTACTATCACAATACACAATGTGCTTGACCATCATTAAAGGCCCACTCTTGCATTTTTTTTTACTATGTCAAAGTAATGGTGCTTCTACATTCCCGAGACACTCGTGTTATAGGCTGCATGATAGAAATATGAAAAAAATGTGGCAATAATTTAAAAAAGCAAAAAAGTACAATACTGAAACCGCAAGCTAACCAAGCAGTTCGTCTTCACATGACGTAAAAACTGGTAAAATCTGGAAATCGTGCAAGGCATGCTGGTTTTCACAAGTGCAGAGTATGAAAGCTGCAGAGGTGGCGTTGAGCAGACGCTCAGGAGAAGGGTGACTACACCGCAACAGCAATATTATGTCTGTAACAGACCGTTCCACGTGGACAAGCTCCTCGGAGCTGTCCCACAATGACAGCTGCAGTTAATAGGCATTTATAGAGATCAGTTGGTGTCGCCATTCGTTTTTCATGGAGTAAAACCAGAAGTAGCACCAGAAATTCAGCCATGCGATTGCCTGGAAGTGCATTCTACTGCCAGATAGCACCACCTGTCTTAGTGGCCCAAGTTTCCGGTTACTACAATGGGGCTCTCAGCTAACGCTAGGAAATCTGTGGGAAACTAAATATTTTTGTTATATTTATAGGATGAGTGCATAACTTTGTACATAGTGGCATTTGACACATGGTAGGTAGGGTCAACAAAATTTAATATAAGCCATGCACAAGTCACCTTTCATGGCATGCACCTTTCTGTACAGCTCTGTAAACTTCGAACCAATTGACAGCTTCGGGTTCGTCTGTATATGTTACAGAAAGTGTTTCTGCATGGTTAGGTTTGGGGATGAGCAATCTTCAACCAGTACATTATTAGCTTACTTTCTGTGTGGTAAACCAGCACTGCTAGCTAAAGCACTTCATTATCAAGGCGAATGGTAATCCTTTGCTGCGGGTGTTTCGTGACTGATACGAGTGCACAGCCCACAGTGCAACACTACTCCTACAAGGAACTGAAATTCACGCTCCCAAACAACGAAGCTCTCGCTAAACACCCACAATTGTTGCATTCTGGACAGCAGATGCCGTAGTGGCACATCAGTTCTTTCACTTTTGTCGCCTTGCCATAAATGGCATTATGCACTATGTTGCCAATAATTGTGGGAAGCCCGTTGGCAGAGTTTGGGCAATCAACAACATTCCATTGTAAAGATTCTGGGTATCTGTCCAGTCCGTAATATGGCATAAATGACAGAATCCTGTAAAAGAATGTACTCAGCAAAATTTGTTGAGATCCACTGACCTCAGAAAATTCATGGTGGCGGCCTTCAAAAGTGATGGGAAGGCTGCAATGCCTTGTATTGGAACCTTTTAGCACCTCCAGTCCCCCTCCCAGACGTGCATTTCGATGCCAGAATATATGCGTATGAAAATAGGTGTATCAGGCACACATGTTGCTGAAATAATTGGTGCTCTGTTTGCAGGACTACTGCACTCAGCCAGCGAAAACTACGAACCAATCAACAGCTTGTGCTTCGTCTGTAAAATCCAGCTCTTCAAAGACAGCACTTATTGGTTTAGTGCGGCCAAAGGGGTCAAGTGCTTCAGGAGTTTGTGGGACTACACCCCAAGCCCCTAGTTCCTCCAGCGTGGCACAGTCGGCACCACCTTCATCAACAGGGCTTAGTCTGTTGGGCACCTACTCTGCAAGTGACGAGAGCAGTTCAGACTGATGGCAGCACGTAGCTGTAGTTTACATGTTTTTATTGCCAAGTGTTTCACAGTGTACAGTGGGATCTCACCGTGAATTCATCTGCACGTGCTGAATTGTCACTTTCACATATGTGCTGCTGAACTGGGATGTCTTCAAAAGGACATGCTTGTTTCGATACATTGTTTTAATCTGGCTAATCTTCAATGAAACATGACATTGGGCTGGTTAAAGCTAATAGTTTTAGCATTATAGTGTCAAGCGTCATCATGTAAATGAATCAACAGGCTGGCAGTTTTACTGTCCATATTGAAGGAAGATGCAGTGAACATGCATAGCTATGCTGGGAATATAGTAGTCAGGTGCTCTAGCCTCGTTAGATAAACCCCTCACAGCCTCACAACAAATGCATACCTTCAAACCCCTCACAGCCTCACAACAAATGCATACCTTCCAAGTCTCCCAGATTGGCCGGGAGACTCCCGGATTTTGACTGCTTTTTCCGGTTTTACGGTTGTCATGAAAATTTCCCGGAAATCAAAAATTCTGTGCATGATCTGACTGCTTTGACAAAAAAGCAGCTCAATCCGCTCCAGGCTTTTCAAACCTACCCCATTTTATTATAAATGAGCTTAAGAGGCGTTCATATAAACGTACAGCATAATCTCAATGATGCGAAACCGCGGCAGACACGAAATTTTGAAATTCCCCTGCCAAATTTCGCTATGCTCATTGGGCCTCAAACCAAATGTTCCGAACACATTTCCTAATCGCGGCAAGTGATACGAACTTTAATATGGAAACTGTTGAACGAACGTTGAGAGCAGCGCACTCGAAGCTTCGGAAGTACACATGCGACCGGCGCACGCACTGTCTTCTACAGTGCGTGTGATTGTCGTTGCCACAACTGCTGTAGACGAAACCACGGTCGCTCTTGACACGATCATGTATAGTGACAACGTAACTGACGGAACCCCGAAAGTGTGCGCTCAACCAGTCAAAGCAACGCTGCTTTCCGCAAACTTTTCCAACAAAACTGCGGCAGACGTTATCGTAGATGGCATAAAAGGACTTAGTTTCAAAGGCGCATGCGCAGCCAACCACATGGGAATCGTGTCCTTCTTGTCTCTTTGCCGTCGTTTTGTTCTCGCGCTATAACTATCGTCATGTCATACCAACTAGCCCAAACTGCCACACTTCTATGTAAAATGAACTACTCTTGGCCGCAACCGCTGCGCACAAAACCGCGGCCACAGCAACGCAATAGCGATCTACGAGCTCTGAGGGCACGCAGCGGTAGGTTAAATGCAGTAAATACGTAAAAATTTTAGAAAGTTACAGTTTCAGTGCAATGGTGAAGCAATATGTGCAACAGCAACAACTTGGAATGTAACACTGAGAACGGCAAGCAGATGAAACGTGCAGTGCGATGCTCACACACAAATGACGGACAAAAACCATACTCGCAGGACGACAGCAAACTAACAACGTTTACCGCTCGACACGTAACGCGCTGTTTAAACAAAAGCGCTGCACGATACGTAATCACAGGTATAGATGAGTACAAACTAATAAGTGTCCCATCGTTATACCTCGCTGTGTATGAAAAGCGCACTGTTTTTGCAAAAGGGGCCTGTGCAGAGCCCAAAGTGACCTTTGTGGGCCCGGCAACTAATGCTTTCGTTTCAGTGAAAGCCGAAGGCACTTGATTCTATTACAAAAGGATAAGCGTGCGCGCACAGGCATCCATTCATGGGGCAAAGTACACGTGCGAGATAAGCGCGCATCGCGACAAGCTCGGTGCCGAGCACGGGCGGCTTTTAAAGACGATAGTCTTTCTTAGAGACCTCCGACGGAAGAATTTTTGTATGTCTGTCCATTTGTCCGTTTGTCCACCCTTAACGATACCTTAAAGTTTAAATCACTCCTAACGATAACTCAAACCGCCGACCCCATCCGCAGCGCCCACCAATATTGCTCAAGATTCAGCGTTCGTACTTGTGCGATTGTCAATTAAAAAGCAATTATTGCGCATATATGAGGCACTATAACAACACATCAATAGTATGTATGTGTGCCTTTTACTATATAGAAAGAGCACACATAAGTAATTCTAAGGACCGTAGCGATTATCACGCTGCGCTGACGATGCAACGCTTACCCGAAAAGGCGAGTGTTTCCAACGCTTTGTTAAGACGGCACCTACTCGTAGCCTTGCGTTCTACACCTTATCACTTCCCAGACAGGCGCGCACACGGCGCGCGCTTCGTTTTCCAAGATAACTGCCAGATAGCGCTCATGCCTCACATGTGACGTGACTTGATGCACTCGTTCGCCTCCGCTGCGGCTCGGTGCACTCTGACGCAGCGCCTAAAGAATACTATTCACCAATTTTTTTGTGCAGAACATCACTCTCTCCAGACGCAAGACTATCGTCTTTCGACGACATTTGCAGTACAACATGCAGATACGCGGCCATTTTTTTTTTTTCTTTGAGTGTTCATATATATAGATACGTATACATGTACGGTGAAGGACGGCGGCGGTGGTAACGGCAAAAATACAGCCTGGACTGTCCATATAATTGTTATCGCATTAAAAATTGGCCAGGCGCGTTTTGGCGTTCCTGTCAAAAGAATCTAGTAGTGAGCAAAGCTTCAACCCGCGCTTTTGCGGCAGTCAGCTGCGCCGTCCCGTTCGTTCACGTGTGTCCCAGGAAGATACACGCGAGTTGTTTTGACTGAAATAGATTTTGCTAGTTGTGTTGATCCTTTGAGACTGTCACCTTAGTGAAAAACTCTACCTTCGTGTGTTCGAACACTCCTAGCCACTATAAGACCGCAACGCCGATGTTGGCGCTTGCGATTGAGACCCCCTTCCCACCCCCTTTTGTTTTTCGCTATGTTTGCTTGTCCTTGTTTTCTTTTGTGCCCCCCCCCCCCCCCTGTAGCGGAACTCTCCCGGATTCCGAATCTTCAAAATTGGCTAGTATGCAAATGGAAGGTCTGGCGATGTGGTGCCATAATAGTTAAATGCGTTTAATGGGTAGCTTGCTGTTGTCAGTGTAAAAATCGTGTAGTACTTCAATCCTAAGTGATTAGAAACAAACCAGCATTAAAAGAAGGTGATAGAACTTGAAATAAAGATTTAAGAAAATGATAAGCAAAAGGCAGGAGCAAATATATTACTCAAGGTGAACATAATTATTACCTTGATTGTACAGTTAACTACAAAACTTTGCTTGTACGTGCCATTCACCGTTAACCGCAGTGCTAGGCCGGAAACGGCCTTTGTTATTTATTAGCCTTTCAATATTCTGCTGCGTAGCGCATTGTTAGGTAGCAGTTTTCATACGTAGTGCCTATCTGCTGTATGACTGTCGCTTTCTATTTTCATAGCAGGATAAAAGCTATCACAGTGTGCCGAACAGCATTCCGAACAGCGAACAGCATTGTGACTGGCAACACTCACGCACATAGAGGTAGATGCCAAAAAGCGCGTCGTGATAAAAAGTGAAAGGTGAAAATTATTTGTACCTAGTCAGAAAAGAGACTGGTCGTAGATTGAGGGAGGGATGCTTCTCGGGTTCTGTGGTGCTGTCAATCACCACTGACAAAGCGGAAGTGTCGTGGAGAGACAGCATTAACCTACTGCTCTTAAGTATGAAGTGCATTTTCATTTACTTTCCTTCTTGAGAGTACAAGCATGTTAGTATTGCTGTCCAAGAAAAAAAAAGTAGAGACATCGGCACAAAGAATGCAACTGTTCGGCCTTCCATTTCTTTCGGTGTCTTTCACTTCACTTTACATCTCGTGATGCGATTCTCAATGGGGCCACCTAGTGGACATGTCCACTTCAGTGGACTGGATTCAGAACCTCGAAAAATTGGCGAGACGTGATATCACATGGCACTCTCGACCATGTGATCGCACCGAGCGAACCTGCACATTCCCAGCGTAAAGATGAAAAAAGTGAACGAAATGTATAGTAACAGGACACTATGAAACTGGACAAGTAAGAACTTGCATATGAATGTGTTAAGCTGTTTGAGAAAGATGCAGGGAATGCGTGCTGACCATCCAGGTACGTTGGGCGGCCGGCTGCGTTAAACCTAATTCAAAGGCTAACCCAATTAGAGCTTATGCATGGCCATCGAGATGTGTCCCAGAGTGGATCTCTGGGGGCAGCATTTGTTGCGGAGAAACGCATTCCGTCCTTCTCACTTGTGTCAAGAGTAGTGAAAGTTTCGTAACATTAAAATGACACAGAAGATGGACTGGAAACGGGGGGGGGGGGGGGGGGTGCTCTACTCGCCAAGTTCTAGCCAATCAGTGAAGGCCAAAGTGGACAGTCCCCAAGGTGGACTCGTAGAGAATCCCACACCCGTCATGAAATTTGCCTTATGCCACACATTTTCAGATTTCAAACTCTCTTGAATACTACTAAAACCCTTTTAAGTACCTGAATGACATTGCTATGAAGTGACATGTATATATTGCTATAATGTATAAAAACTGCATAATATGTTTGTTTCCTTTGTGTTTCTTACGTCGTGTGCTTTCTTCAGCTGCCGTGCAATGTCATATTGCATCGGTAAGTCATATGAATGCCATGCCCATGTTTCTAGCGCCCACGTTGTTTATAATGACCTGCTTTTGCCTGCACAGTTTTTCAGTTGTTCTGCTCCATTTGTCATGGAGTTTCTGACCAAATTAGGTTTATACACAAAAATGTCAAAATTTAAAGTTTGGTTTCTGGTTCATACCTCCTGCCGCTAGGGACGCAACTAATGCTAGTGAGCATCTGTTCGCTCACGTCAGCCTCAGCGCTTGTGAGGATGTCTTGGCCAGCGCAGAGCAATTATATTGTGTAATTATTATGCATAAATGCAAAATACCTTGAGTTGACGTATGGAACACTAGTTATCTAGAAATTACTTGCATTCGAATGAAAGCCTACAAGCACAATGCCTCATATAGGTCGTCCACACCATGCTAGTCTATGGTGACAGCCGTTTTTCACCGCTATACAATAAATGCTTGACCCTCTCTTTAATTGCAAAAACAATCACATATATGCTGGCAGTTTGTCGCATAGTACGAGCATTCTGACTAAGAAAAAGCCGCAGAGTAGCAGACGAATAGGCTATATTCACTATACGGTTGAACGAGCATGAGGACACAAGCACCCAAAGCAGCCCACTGTCTGGGCAGTTTAGGAGTATAGTATGTCGTGGTCATGACAATAGAACCATCCAAAAGCAACACGTACATATATAGTTAGTGGTCTGCTGATTGAAAGAAGCGGAAGTCATCACACAGGTGACGTGGCATGTAGCCCACCAATTGCTCACTACAATTAGGAATTTGTATTTCAGCTAATGCTGCTATGGTGTGCATATTGTGGTTTCTTTCAAAAGCCGAGGATATTGTAAAAGCTGGTAACTGTACTAGAACGGAAATTCAGGATGGATTTTGGAAATGCTCTACCATCATTAATAGCTATGCATTCTACCCAGGCATGTACAAGCATCTTAGAGAGTTGTTTATTCTATATGGGTCAACTTCCTGTTTCATGCTAATTAAAGGCACTGTGCCGATGCCAACTAAAAGAAAACATTGCAGTGAAGGCTGTGACACAGTGAGCACAGGAGATATAAGCATGATACTGTATCTCATTAGGGGAAAAACAGTGTACAGTAGTCTTGTCATACAGAGCAACGTGCTAAGACAAAACAGCAGGCAATTAAAAACACATTCATCTCAAGCTTCTGTCTAGAGTTAATAGTCTTGTCTTTATTGCATTATTCTAGAAATTTTACTTTCTTCAGAGTAACGGCAGTTTTATTCATCACTGTTTTAGGTGCTTCCATTGTTTTAGCTACCATAAACTTGGTGTAAAAAAGAAAAAAACTGGTATATACATACATTTACATCTCACAAAAGAAAATCAAGTTTGGAATTGTAATTACATATATACCATAAAAGGACTGGCATCAATAAAGAAACCTTAAACCATCATATTATCTGTAAAGAAGATCCAGTCATGACCACAAATACTGGACTGGAACAAATTATTATGCTAATTCTTTTTTTGTTCATGCTGTACTAGAGAAGAATCAATTGTCTTGTGAGCAAGTGTGCTGTTTAAACAAATGCTTACTTTATTTTTCCTAACAGTTACCCTTCTGCTTAACTATTCCGACGACGAATGAAACTGCGATTCGAACCCGTGGATTGCTTACTACGTCACCACACGTCAGCCAATTCCACGTTCCCGCTTCGATCCGCGCAAAGTGATTCATGAAATGACAGAGGCCCAAATCGCAGTCAGAATCCTCAGGGGGGGTCAAAGCTGGAATTTTTGCTTATAGCGTCATTTCCCCCCTGTTATGCAAATGCTGGCTGTGGAGAGATCCAAATCACGTCACATGTCACGTGACTGATTCGTCTGCGATGACGTCCGTCGTGTGAATGCAGCTTCGTATGCCTTCAAGCAAAGCAGAGTACTTCCGAATAAAAAATAAAGAACTACATATTGCAAAGGAGAAAGGCTGATATAACACCTGTACGCTGAACGGTTGTTCTATTTTTCCTGGCCGTGCAAGCTTGCAACCCATAACCTGGCTCTGCTTCTTGAGCTTCAGTAGTCACAATATATAGAATTAGTCAAACTTCCAACATCTGGAAGGGCAATCAGCTTTATTGGTAAAAAAAGAAACTTGTTGCTGATAACAAGATGGTGCATTGGAATGCATGAAATCTAGCTGCATTGCTCTGCTTACTTGTACAAAGCAAACACCACGCAGCTTAAGATCCTCATTGCACATTGTAAAAATTCACTGACAATGGCCAGGTAAATGGAAAGGCACCAGACTAGCATTGTGATTATTTACTAGAACAATAGTAATAATGTAAGATAACAATGCTGCTATGCAATGCAGCTTGTGGGACAGAATAAAAAGTAGGAATATGACTGGTGTAGGCTCAAAAGAGCATCACAAATCTTTTTTCTTCCTGAGCAACTGTATTACGGTGGGAAGAGCAGATGGCAAATGTTTGCTTGCTTTGATTTTTCATTTGCTTTCCTAACACAAATCAGCTAAAAGGGTCATTGTCATCCCCACAAGCTTGGAAAATCCTGTTTCTGATTTTCCACACTATTTAGCACACACAAGTTCACAACCATTGGTATTGGAGAATGTGTGACTAGGGTAGGAATATGGCAGCACCACTGCCAGGCTTGGTGACAAACATGGCCGTATCTTTCGCTACGCTGTCACCAAACTTGCCATAAAACTCGGTGCCAACTTCCTTCAAGAAGGCATCCAGCTTGTCCGAAGGCACCAGGGAAATGGTACATCCTCCCCACCTTAAAATGGGAGATAAGGAAAGCATTGAGGAAATCTGTCACAAGTATTAGGGCTCCGCGCGCCTGTCAGGTGGATTCATAGAAACAAGCTTTAGTAAAAGCATTATAATTACATACACGCATAGGTTCACAAAAAAGCTGGAGCTTGCTCAGACTTGCTCAAGAAATATAGTATTTTGCTCCTCAGACTTACAAAATTTTTTGCAGCTGCACTCGCTCAGACTCACTTAAAATTTTCTTCAACCAGACTCACTTGGACTTAAACTCGTCATCTCACATACCTGGAATCGCACAGACTCCGACTCATGGCCCGATCCGTGTCTCAATGAGTCTGAGTTGACTCATGAATGCAAGCAATATTTTAACGGTGACTAAAGCTAGGACAAGTACAACTATAGGCTAAAATGTGAGTAAGGCATGATTGGAACATGACTTGAAGATGATATTTTTGGCTATACTGTATACGCTATAGAACTCGCACAAATATTTGCAGTTTTCTGTACTGTAGTTACTCTTCGAAAGCATTCACACCTGTTCTCATACTAGTGCAGCCTTATATTTAGTGCTCAACTTATAATACATAATTAACTTATAATACATAATGCAAAATATTGTAAGGTAAATCAGCAGTGCCAAAGAACAAGAAAGCTTTGTCATATAACTAGCAATCTTTAGGGGAGATCCTGGTATTAGGACTTGGCGAGATATAATGCTTCAAATAGAAACAGCAAATTTTTGTTTTCTGACAAGCAGAAAAAAAAAAAGCTTTGATTGAACTGTGGTCATCACAGCTGTTTTATAGACCTGAAGGGTAGGTGCACTGTGGTGTTGTGGAAGGGGGGAGAAAACTTGCGAATTTTAGGGTTTTGACCAAGCTTTTATACTGCTTTATCCAGAGCTCTAGTAAAAAAGAGGTACAATCAAGCAGCAGCGACTTTAACCAGAGGTGGTTTTGGCTGGCTAACCTACGTGGGGAACAGGGTTCACGTGAAAATAAAAATTTCTGAATGAAAAACCTTTAAAAAATTACGTGTAGCTGCTCTGATATCGTAAACAGCAAAACCAACAGAGCCGGGAAAGGCCCAGTAAGGTAATGCCAAAGCACACAGTCTAAGTTTTGATGGTCAATCGGCCATGCTCATGTGCCTCTGGATCTTCATTTGTTTGCCAATGCAAACTCTCGGCTTCACTCGATCTAAACTAGGGATATTCTGCGACACTTGATTTTCAGCTTCCCAGCTCTTGCTTCAGGATCAGATCACTGGTGCCGCATCCGCTCATGATTAGATTTTTGATGGCACTGCAGTTGAGGAGCCTCTTCTTGAGGAGTCCCAATGGTAGTCTTTGCCAAAGCTAAAAACGCCTTATTGCTCCTTTCCACAGTGAGAAATCAGGATAAACAAACACCACACCACTTCTTTTTCCACTGCAAAATAATGGGGGGGGGGGGGGGGGGAGGGGGGGACTCCAAAGCGCGCACAGGTTTTATCAGGCGGCAATGATGTCACGCCACATGCGCCCGCCTGGTTGCTTTTTCTCTCCAGGTTAGCCCCTCTCTACTGCCACCTGCCCCACTTCTCTTCGCCTCACATCCGCTCTTCTCCACAGCTCAGCAGAGCTGTGCACAATGCAATGGAAAACCTAGTGAGGTTTTAACAGCTCTGCTGTAAAGCACTCGCCTAAAATTTTTTGTGTTCTGATAGTGCATGACTGTCCAGTATGTCCAGGCCAGAGGGCATAATTTGCCTCTTTATGCTATAGCTTACAAAAGCATGCACCATCTTTGCTGATAATATCAAGACGGAAAGAACGGGTGTTCCATCAGTCACTGGAAAGAAGCATTACAAGTGCTGACTGTACAGATGCATTACTGTAGACTCCGAAGGCATTCATGCTAGTGCTTACGGTTATACCAATGTTAGAAGAAACACTTTATTCCGGATGACACAACTCAATTTCACAGTTTCACCCAAAGAACAAAGCATTCAGAGCCATGGGAAACGTGCGGCACCTGCAAGAGGCACAACAGTCCAGTGTGCAAGTCCACCGCCAGCACGAGTGGCCACCTTAGAATCCACTTAAATGCTACGAATCGTCGTCTCTCTGTTTGCTGCGCTCGTATTGTACGCAAGAGCGTGTGTGCTAAGGAGACATGGTTGATAAAACAAATAGGCTTTCACAAAGTTATTAGTTGAGGATTTTTTCAAGCCCTTAAACTTACAATAGGGACATAAATGAAGAGAAGGGAAGGGTGACAGAGTGCTCTGAAAGAGCGATTTGCGGCAGGCCAGCACAAACCTGGAAGCAGAGGCCATCACCACCAAAGCTTGTATGCATTCTTTCTTACCATTTTTTCTGCTTATTGTTCAGTGAATGTATTTTGTCAACATTCCTGTCTAACATGTGTTAGACAACCCACTGTGATGGGCACAAGTAAAACATTAATTGCGTTGCTGGGCATGTTGCATTTAGTAATGGCATAGCAGTTCCGCAAAATTTTTCTGTGCTGCAGCTCAATTTCGTTTGTGGACATTGCTCAGGCTGCATGAGTGCTTGAGTTACATTCCTACAGGACAGATTCCTATGTGATACTTTAGCGCTAGGGGATGTGGTATGGCTTTGATTGCATGCACACTGTTGGTAAGGGGTAAAGGCAGTACAAAGGGAATAAATTGTGAAATTCTTGTGGTGCCCGATGCACTTCACCATGCATCTGGGGCTTCTTGCTTACCGTCTTTGTTTAGGAACTTTGCTGTCTGCAAACTGCGCCTCTAGAGAAACAGAAGTACAGTGGAAAAACAGCAGTGGTGTACGAAGGAGAACTGCTGAATCTTACGACGGATTTCCCCCAATGAAATGTAGACTACAGACTCGAGATCAAATTGCCTGCTGCTACTCAATTCAGTCAGCACTGTAAAAATATCAGTTACTTTGCGTGGGGTGTAAGTTCACAACGAACTAGCCACAGCATGTGCTTCATGAACACACCTGGGATAATTTGCTTTACGTAGTGTACACTGTGAATCCAGCACTCCCACCGATTTACGAAGCGATTTCACAGCGGAAAATTGAAAAACCTTGTGCCAGGTGGGTAATTCTTATAGGTATTGGTTATGACACAGCAATTCATATGCAACATTGCGAAGCACCGCTAAAAACCTGAAAATGCACTGCCCATAGGCTGGCTACTGCATAGAGCACGTGAGTCACTTTCATCCACTCCCACATCGCGGCACTATTGGTCAAGTCCACTTTTTCTATAGCGAAGCTTTGGACAACTACACAAAGTAACATTTTGCAAGCTTAATGGCCATATAAATTGAAAAAATATCTGCTTACAAACTGATTAAATCAGGCTAGGGGTCATGAGTGCGCAGGCAAACAGGAACAGACTTCAGTTGCATTCAGAGCACTGTCATAAACAAATGTGTCAGCAACTAGAAGCTGGACCATGTCACCACGTCTTGGAAAGTTGAGGTTACGCTGTCCAAAATACTAGGTGCGTCGCAAAAGAGCGCACATAAAAATACCAGTCATCCCAATTCACCTGTAGCTTCTGGTCTCTCTGCAGATGAAATCTAAAGAGACATTGAACTGAAACAGTTAATCGGTTTAGACTGACAAATTTTAATCTGAGAACTCTAATGTCGATAATTTCACCAGCGTAGCTTTAATAATAGAGGAGAAAAACAGGGTCAAAGTATTATATCAAAATATTGAATTGAAATTATCGCATGTGACGCCGGGATTCAAAGTGTTCTTTTTTTGTTATTTTGCTCACACTGACTAAACAAAAATTTTTTTAACCTTTGTATGTCAAGTCTCTTGACCCTTCCAAGGACAATGTGCTTTGTTTTTACCGATTAGAAACTATGTGGGCCCCAGTAGACGCTGGCAAAATCCTACGATGTCTTGGTAACTCAAGTGGCAATTTCTATTCAGGCGTTTGCTCACTTACCATGTCTTCTCACGGCGAGCACGGCAATATTAGTATTTCAAGCGGTTAATTTACTAATGCAAGAAAAATCAGTTTTCTCTTCAGCTTCACTTTAAGATGCTGTGTGTGGGTCATGCGAGTGCTCAACTGCACGGAGAGAAACTTGCTACGGAATTACCCCTTTCATCAAACGTGAGTGGCTTCGATGATTCCAGAGCTTAGCTGCTATGCATGACTCGGCATAATCCTACTGCTATTGCCAAAAAAGGATATGATACGTGTATAGATGAGATAATTACAAAGCAAGATGGAAAGGATTATACACACTGGTGTACTTGACACTAATGCACAAACATAACATTAAAAGCTGATAAGGATAGTGCTACAGCATAAGCAGGAAACATGCATACCCTGCGCCAGTCAGGCGGGAACCCAGTGCACCAGCTCGCAGTGCAATCTCCACCAGGAGATCAAGGTCTGGATGGCTGCACTCGTACAGATCACGGCAACTTGTGTGACTATCGTTCATCAGTTGCCCAAGCTTGGAAAGCTGCTCGGACAGGGTCCCATGACTTGCTTCGCATACCTCTTTGAACTGCCATACCCGGCTTGCTTCCTCATACACATGAACCGCTCGCTGGTGCAGCTGAAAAAGCGTGATGAGGTAGCACATTTTGTTTGTTTAGTCGAACGGTCCACACACAAGGACAACCAATTAGACTTCGTTTGAAACAGTATCAGTGAGAGAATACACTCGTACCTCATTGCAACAAAGTTGTATCTTACACAAATGTAGGTTCGTTATATCCAAAAAAATTTTATAATGGTATATAACGCTATGTCTATTGCACGACTATTCTCTATTTACTTCGTTATATAATCGATATTTCACTATATCTGGGTTTGTTATATTGAGGTTTGAGTATAGCTATACTTCAGGAAGACATGAGTAAATTGGGCATCACAGGCAGCATGCCAACCATGCAGAGGTTCAGGGTTTCCAAAAAATTTTTTTTGAAGTCTACAGCCTCATGCGTTTTGTGTGTCTGTATAAATAAAAGAATGCAAGAACTTTCATATTATTTGTTTCAATTCCTATCTGTAGCTTTTGATGAACTCGATTTTCGTTGAGGTTAGTACAATGGGGCTTGAACTGATGCATGTGTTTTGCTGGTCCGATATGTGAAAGGCTTCCCATATCTTGTGTGTGGTCTTACTCTTTGATTAGGCCAAAACTAACATTTTTTCTAACATTGGACTACACCCACACTCCCTGCAGTGCATGGAAAGGTTTCCTGTAAGTGCAGTAGCACACTATTTGTAGTGCAGTAACTGTAGTGCAGTATTTTTCTCGTGCAAAACCAACTAGCCCAACACCTCACTTTGTTCATTCTTGTTCTTTTGTTGAGGCAGCCACCTAATTGCGCCATTCAGTGTGCTGGCTTGTTGTGTAACCCTCTTTCTTTCATATCAAATAAAAATTAAGAACTAATTTGACTCACCTTAAACTCTTGCAGATGCTTGGTGTTTTTTCCGAGGAAGCACTTCTCAAACTGAGCATCATCCATGCCAAAGAGTGAACAAAGTTCACTCCTAGTGTAGACTGTTGGATGCAAAACGCTCTTGGCCAAAGTTCCCATTTCGTGCAAGGGAACCTTCAGCAGTGACTGGAGCTCTCCGAGCTTCAGTTGCTTCCTCCTCAACTCGAGACCCTGAGCTTTAGCAATCACCTGAATACAATAAAAGCAAGAAAATGAACACCAGTCACAAGGGAGTCGTGAATTTTCGCGAATGACTCAAAGACACATTTATTTTATTTATTTATTTATTTATTTAAATACTCTCAATGCCATTTGCGGCGTTACAGAGAGGAGTGGTTACAAGTTAGAGATGGCAGTCTTGAATGATGCATGATCAGGGTTGCTGGCGATGGAGGCAGGAAGGTGGTTCCATTGGGATGAAGTTCAGTTGCAGTTCACATGCAGGCACATCAGTGGCAACGGGTGCCATGTGTAGCGTTGAAGCAGCTTTTTATGGCTCCTTCGTAGAGAAAGCATGCTTGTATGGCTGAAGTAACATCTGGAGCTTTGCTTATCTATTAAAATTTTGATATGTTTGATGTACCTTTGAAGACTAAGGCATGGCACTTAATAAAGCATTCGTACATTCTCATCAGTGAAAAAGAAAAGGTTGCTTCAGATAAAGCACTGGTATTTGCAACTAGTGTGTACACTAAATTTAGATTAAAACAATAACTATTTAGGACAGAGTCATGCGAGGAACAGATAAAGTGGAATCACATTACGCCCATTCAAAAACAAATTTATGTTACATTTGCACCGTGTAATAACTACAATAGTGAAGCAGAGCAGCGGCAGATCAAATTGTACACTACAACCTTAATTCAACAAAATGATGATGATGATGATTATGAGTAGTTTTTAATGGCGCAAGGGCCAATTGATGGCCAAAGAGCGCCATTTCGATTGACTAGAGATATGAACAATGATATGATGCGTGGCTGTAAAGGGGCCTTAAAATTCCTCGCGCTAATGCGGGTTAAAACATGGAAGTAATAAAATCATGACAGTGGCGTGAGATATGTGTTGTGAAAGTTGATGGCAAAATGTCATGATAATAAAACCATGATGGAGATGTAGTCACTGCAGCCACGACCACGGTACAGAGGTCGTGCTACGGATGACCTCGAAATATCAAGTGAAAGCTATGAACATCTTTTAAAAACGTGAAAAGTTTTTGCAGCTTAAAAAGCGGATCCCTACCGATGAGCATCCCAGGGTGTAGTGGGAGCTGCTGTCAGTAGGGCAGTAAAAAATGCTTTTTTTAGAGCATCTAGCTCATTGCACTGAACGAGAACGTGGAGAACTGTAAGTGGTTCTCCACATCTCTCACAATATGGTGGATTGCCGGTAGATAGAAGATATGAATGTGTGGAGTGTGTATGTCTTGTTCTGAGCCTTGTTAGTGTTACTTCTGTGTGTCGTGATTTTGATAGTGGCAGCCAATTACCTAGTTGCGGCTTGATAGCATGGAGTTTATTGTCTGTGTGTCTATCCGACGTGCTCTTCCAATACCACCTGAGCTTTCATTTTAGAAATGGTTTCAAGTCAAGTGCAGGGATTGGTATTAATGCATGGGAAGTAGTGTCGTTGGCGGAAGCAGCCAGCTTGTCGGCCAAAACGTTCCCTTGTATCTCACGGTGCCATGGCACCCAGCACACGACATGCTGTTTTGATGTGCACTGTGTGCACAGAAGTGAGTAAAGTGACACCAGCACGGGGTTCTTGTGTTTTTTAGGAGTTTTCAGGGCTTTGACCACACTTAGGGAATCTGTGTATATTACTGCCTTTTGTCATTTTATCTGTTTCATGTATTTTACGACCGCCAGTATTGTGTAAGCTTCTCCTGTGAAAATGCTTGCATCAGGATGAAGAACGCCGGCCTCAGAAAAGGTTTGGCCTACCGCTGCATATGACACAGAAGTGTTGGACTTTGAAGCGTCGCTAAAGAACTCAGGACATGTGTATTTATCTTGTAGTTCTCAGAAGTATGTATGTATGTGAGCAAGTGGTGCGTGCTTTGTGACTTCAACAAGAGAGAGAGAGAGAGAGAGAGAGATAAATAGAGAGGAAAGGCATGAGCAGCAACAACCATGGGGCTTGCTCATTAGCCGTCGAGGAATGGCCAAAGCAAGATCAGTGGGCGCGTCACAAAAGAGACATCACAGTCTATAAGCTGCCACTGCCACGGTGGCAGATATGCTGCAGGAGCCATCAAACTGTGTTCGAGAAGATGCACACCTGTTTCTTCGGCAAGGCCCTTTACACGGAGCGAGTAGGGCTGCCGCAACAAAGGACGGTTCTCGAACAAGCCAGAACAAGACAAATCATTACTTGTGAAATAAGAGGGGTGTTTCTTGTCTGCCTTAACCTTCAGAAAGTACAAAAAGGACAGGTAACATCTTTGTAGGTGGAGCGACCATTCATTCGAATCCACGTACAAACTCTCTACAGGGCTAGTACGAAAAGCACCCGTAGAGAGGCGAAGTCTTAGATGGTGGACAGGGTCGAGAATCTTCAAGGCCGATGGTGTTGCCGACTGATAGATTAGAGCACCATAATCTAGGCGTGTGCGTACGAGGCTTTTATATAAATTCATCAGGCACTTCTTGTCACTGCCTCACGTAGTGCGTGACAACACTTTCAAAATATTCATTGCTTTAAGGCACCTGTCCCTTAAATACTTGATGTGTGGGATGAAGGTTAGTTTTGTGTCTAATGTTAGTCCAAGAAACTTGTGCTCGGTCTTCAGTGGCAGAGGTTGACCATGCAGGTCAATGTCGGGGTCAGGATGGAGGCCCCTCTTTCGGCTGAACAAGACGTAAGTGCTCTTTTGTGCGTTGAGTATAAAACCATTCTCATTTGCCCATTGAGATACCTTGTTCAACCCTAGTTGAACTTTACGTTGGCACATTGAGATGTTGCATGATTTGTAACCGATCTGTACATCATCGACATATATGCAATAAAAAATATTACGTGGGAGAGACAGGTGCAAGGAATTCATTTTGACAATGAAAAGTTTGCAGCTCAATACACCTCCTTGTGGCACTCCTGTTTCTTCAACAAATATTCGAGATGAGAGAGTGCCAACTCTGACATGGAATGTTTAGTTGGACAAGTAGCTTTCGATGATTGACAGCATTCTACCCGCACACCTAAATGTGACAGGTCTCGCAATATGCCAAAGCGCCATGTAGTGTCATATCCCTTTTCCATATCAAGGAATACAAAAAGAAAAAATTGCTTATTAAGAAAAGCGTCTCAAATTTGAGCCTCGATACGGACAAGGTGGTCAGTGGTGGACCGAGCCTCTCGAAACCCACACTGGTATGGGTCAAGTGGGCCATTAATTTCAAGGAAGTGCATCAGGTGCCTGTTAATCATTTTTTCGAAGACCTTGCAAAGACAGCTGGTTAATGCTATTGGCCTGTAGCTGGAAACTGAGGCCAGGTCCTTGCCTTGTTTTAGAATTGGGATAACGATAGCTTCCTTCCAGGCTGAGGGTAGCTCGCCGGAAAACCATATCGCATTATACAGGGAGAGGAGAGCTTTTGGGGTTTCAGTGGGCAGGTGTTTTAACATTTCATATGCCACACGGTCCGTGCCTGGGGTAGATTTATTGCAGCAGGTAAATGAGGCTTGTAGTTCAGCAAAACAGAAATGTTCATTGTATGCCTCATGTGTTGTGGGTTTGCACTCTAATCTCTGTTTTCCTATTGTGGTTTTCTATCTTTGGAATGCTTCACTATAGTGTGATGAGCTGGAGACCTGTTTGAAGTGTGCTCCGAGAGTGTTTGCCTGGTCTTCCAAACTCTCCCCTTGTGTATTCACTAGAGGAAGTGAATGTGCTTTTCGTCCTGCCACCTTACCAACCATGTTCCAGACTCTCGACTCATCTGTGTATGAATTAATGCCTGATAAAATTTTGTGCCAACTTTCCCTTTTCGCCTGTTGGCGCGTCCTCCTTGCTTGTGACTTAACGTTCTTAAAGTTTACAAGATTCTCGGCTGGGGGCGAGTCTCTAAGCAACTTCCATGCCTTATTTTGTTTTTTTCGTGCATCATGGCACTCATTATTCCACCATGGGACTCGTCGTTTGCTTGACGGTCCACATGTTCGGGGAATACGTTTCGTTGCTGCATCAACCAAGAAAGCTGTAAAATATTCCTTGCTGCATCAACCAAGAAAGCTGTAAAATAGCACACAGCATCCTCTATGCTCAGCACCACTATGTCAGTCCAAGGTAATAGAGTCATTTTTTTAAGCTTTTCCCAACCGGCTTTGTCGTTGAGCCATTTAGGAACTTGTGCAGGATATGTATTTGTTATTGATGTGCTGATAACGATAGGAAAATGGTCACTACCATATGGATTATTAATGACTTCCCATTTAAGTAGAGGCAGGAGTGATGGGGATGTTATGCTGAGGTCTATTGTTCAGTGCGTATTGTTAGCGATGTTGTAATATGTTAGCTCTTTTCGATTCAGCAGGCATGCACCGGAAGAAAAAAGGAACTGTTCAATTATGTAACCTTGAGCATCGCAGTGAGAGTCACCCCAAAGACTGCTATGTGCATTGAAATCTCCAAGGAGAATATAAGGTTCTGGAAGTTCGTGCATGAGGGACTCGAATTCGTGCTTTTCAAGACGGTGTTGTGGAGGTATGAAGAGAGAGCAGATGGTGACGAGCTTATTCAAAAGAACTGCTCGAGCAGCCACCGCCTCAAGGGATGTTTGTAGTGGTAGGTGTGTGCATGCAATCCCTTGATTGACTATAATGGTAACACTACCGGATGACACAATGGCATCATTCCGGTCCTTCCGAAAAGTAACGTAATGACGTAAAAAGTTGGTGTGTTTAGGTTTCAGGTGTGTCTCTTGTACGCACAGCACCTTAGGTGTGTGTTTGTGTAAAAGTTCCTGGATATCGTCGAGGTTTCTCAGCAGTCCTCTGACGTTCCACTGTAGTATTTGTGTCATTTTATAGTTGTGTGGTGCTGTGTGACAAAAGTGTTGCGTTAGGTTACAGGGCCTTTTTAGGGCCCTGTGATTCGAGGTTTTTCTTTTTTGGCGTGCTCCAAGGAGTTGCGCCTATCCTTCGGCGTCTGAGGCGCCGAAGAGTGGGACTTGTATCCATCACCTCTTGTGAGGTGGTGGATGGTGTCTCCTCGGCAGGCATGGTCATAGAACTTTCGGACCTAACTGCGCTTGCAGTGGTCCGAGGTTCAGCAGACACGGGGGTCCGCCACCGCGGCCCCACACTGTGTGACATTCACGGGTGCAGAGACATGTGGCGCGGCGCCCCGGCGCGTCACATCTGCGAAGGAGGGATAAGATGGGTTGTGTAGTGCGAAACGTTGGCGTGCTTCTTGGAATGAAAGATTGAATTTGACCTTAAGTTCTACTATTTGTTTCTTTTTTTTCCATGCGGGGCATGATTGCGAGTAGGCAGCGTGATCTCCTTCACAGTTCGAACAATGAGTTGTTTCTGAGGTGCAGTTGTCGGATATGTGTTGCATGGATGCACACTTTGCGCAAGTGGCGCGCCCTCTGCAACTCTGCGATCCATGACCCAAACGTTGACACTTGAAACATGACCCAAACTTGAGACGAGGGTTGGGAATGTATGGTCTTACACAGAGCTTACAATAGCCGGTTTTGATTGATTCTGGTAGGTCACTTGTTCCGAAGGTAATTATTACGTGTTTTGTAGGGGTCAGTTTGTTGTTGCGCCTTATTGTTATTCTTTCGACTTTGACCACGTTCTGGTCCTGCCAACCTTCGAGTAGCTCACTTTGAGAAAGTTCAGTAAGATCATCATCAGAAATAACGCCACGGACAGTGTTCATGGACCTGTGTGGGCCCACCGAAACAGGGGTTTTCCCAAATGCTACAAGCTCAGACAGCTTCTCATACTGAGCTTTGTCACAAACCTCCAGAAGAAGATCGCCACTTCCCATCTTTGTCACTTTATAACCTGGGCCTATTGCTTCTGTGAGAGTTTTAAAAACGAGGAAAGGTGAAATGGCTCGGACTGTCTTCTTTTCGTTTTGACTGTGGATAACATGTTACTTTGGGAATGTCGGCTTTGGTGTGTTAGGCAGAAAACTGTCTTCGGTGCGCCACCTTTTCAGGGAGCGATCAGGAATGGGGGAAAAGCTTTTGCCATAAAAATACTAGAAATTTCGGCGGCGATGGTGGCCATCCACCACCGAGCCCAACATGGGGACACTACAAGGTTGAAAGCAAACACTTGGAGACGCCAGCCGTACATCGCCGCTATAACCTGTTATAATTATCCTAGGTTGGATAGGTACACCAGGTTAACCCTCGCCGCCAGGAAATTCGGAAGTAAACGAAAGAGAGAAGATGACAGGACAGATAGAAAGATAGAAAGTGAGAGATAAAGACGAAGGTTAGGGGGAGAGAGATAGGAAAAGGCGACTGCCGATTTTCCCTGGGTGGATCAGCCCAGGGGTGCCGTCTACGTGAAGCCGGGCCCAAAGGGGTGTGTTGCCTCTGCCGGGGGGCCTTAAAGGTCCAATCGCCCGGCGTCAGCTCAACCCCTAGGATCCCCTTTTCCCCGGACACGGCTCAGCCACGCACGGCTAGGCGTGGGAGAGAGTCGAACCCCCCCCCCTTAGCTCGGGTCCGTGGTGTCGCTACACACCGAACGCCTGCTTTCACAGACGCCCCTGCGGGGGATTCAACAAAATGAAAATACCAGTTATAACAAAGTAAATTAAAGATAGCCTTACAATAGATACAGTGCTAGGAATAAATCTTCATAATGAATTTTTGGATATGACGAATTTATTTTGCGTAAGATGCAATTTGGTTATAATGAGTTAAGGGAAACTCCTACATTGATAGATAATGTAGTACCCAGTAATCCTTGCCATAGCACTACAAATAAGGTTGAAAGCTACCTTCACATAAAACTGCATTTAGAGCTGTGAGAAAGCTCACAAACTAATGTAAGCTAGCGAAACTGAAACTAATGAAAGGAAAAAGTACTGAGAACTCAGCAAGGTTTGGTAGTCTCTACAGTAACATTAAGCAGTCAACTTGAGCACTGTCGATGAATGAAGTTATACTTGTCATGCATCATTTCTGTTTATGAATGTGGCTGGAGAGAATGCAAATATGACAACTGAGAAACTGATGCACATGACCCTATAGGCAGTGACACACGACCAAAATGAAACCAGCATTTCAGACTACAATAGCTGAGAAAGTGTAACAGAAATGAAACAACAATGTGAGCTACGTATACAGTTTTTGCAAAGAATTGTGGTTAACTTGTTCTTACGTAGCTTCAGCATTTTTTATGGTCTTCTCAAGTGTAATCCTTCAAAGAAAATGTTTTACATGTTAATTAACTGCAGTCTCAGTTACATTACTGCCTCATGCATGCACTTATACTTACACATGTTCCCATTAATTGTTTCTTCCTTAGCGTTTCTTTCCGCACTCAGAGAGTGAAGCCTATCGGACAACCTGGTGCATTCAAAGCAGAATTCAGCTGATAACATCGCCAAACTTGGAGAGTTAAGGAAATGTATACAATTCTGAATAAGTTCATGTAACTTTTGCAGTCCTATCTTTAATCACAACAGGAACGGTAGTACGAAACCTGTGCGGCGATGTGGCATTCCACTACACGGATATTGAAATCCGATGTTGATGCTTTGTTCATTTCCACAAGGCTGTTGGCAACTACAAATGTTGCTCCCTCTGGTAGAGATATGCTTGTGGTTCTCAGTGGATTGAACTCAATGAGCTTCGCAGTTCCTGGGAGAGAGAAATAGAAACAAAGAACCGTTACACAAGGCTTGTTTAAAGTTTGATAGAGTTGAATATTTGAATCCCTTTATAAGACATGTGCACTGGGCAGCAATTCTTGTCTATCATATGATGTGCCTCTTATAAGCAAGAAACCCCGTATGCATTTTCTTATCAACCCTTATTTCAATGTAGGCACACTTGTGTGTCTTATATCCAATTGTGTATCACATCAGGGTCTCTTCCAAAGGGGTTCGACAGTAATAAGCATATTTCATAAACTATCTAGCTGCACTCGAGGAAAACTGACCTGGTTCAGCAAGGAATGCAATGGCCTGGTCCATTCCACCTCCTTGAGTGCCAATATACCTTTCAGACGCAGCACACAGTGATGCCAGCTTCACTTTTGGTACGGCGGCAGCCCTGGTTTATACAATCACATGGCTTAATCAGTTTGCGAAAGCTCAAGCAGATTAAAGACATGACAAGCAGTGAATATCTCAACATACATGAAGTTTAATGTGTCACATTACATCACCTGACAGCTTAATTGAGCATCATTCTTCGAACTTATTCTCCTGTACTAACCGCACACACAAGTCGCATGTGGAGATTTTCTTATTTTTTCACTTCATCTAATTCTTCCTGTCAGCAACTACACTTCAAACTTTCTTACCTTGTCCGTCCCATTCTCCTGTCCATGCCCTATTATTCATCTCTTGACACTGCACTATTCAATTTACATTCCACTTCTCATTATGTGACCTTATGTTCCACCAAAGTTTTCAAATAGCTTTAAATATTTCACCTCAAAGCTCAATTTTACCAAAAAAAATTATATATATTCCCTTTTCCAGGTATGCCGACCTTTGAACTGCGTGCACGCAGCAAAATCTCTTTGTTTTTCAGTTGATTTGTTTCTCTTCTTAAATCAAGCTAAGATAAGGTAAAGTTGACTGTGGTTACTTATTCATTTTTGGCTAACTTTCTGCTATACACCACCACTATACAACACAAGTTGGCTGAATGTTATAATTTCACCACACTGGGAGCACTTTTCTGTTTCTTGTCTTGCAAAGGGATCTCTTTATACAAAAATTGGACAGTTATGTCACAGTGGTAGCCTTAGAAAAAATGTACTAGCTTTGTTACTCAAGACCGCCAGGCTGACTGCAGACTGTTTGAGGGCGCTTCTTTCATATGCCACAAGTTTAAGAATCTGCGAACGAAAATAGCTCTTATGCTTGTCACTCATATGTATGAACTGTCAAAAGTGCACTAGAACTGAGCCACATAGCAAAAAAAAAAAAATGTGCATGCCGACGGTTTCGATTAGTCCACATACTTTTGTGAAAGAGATGAAAAATTTAGGAACACAGGGTATCACAGGAGCCAATGTTTCTACAACCGGTTTTGTCTTCTTGAAGGCTGCAACTGCCTACCTTAGAGCGTGGCATGCATTTGCAGCCTTCGAGAAGACAAGACTGTTTATTTTATGCATTTACTTATTTATAATGCAGTTTCAAATTAAGACTACAGCAGGTGTGAAATACAGACGCATGATATCGAAAAAAGGCACAATAATATACACAGAAAACACATGAAGGCGGACCATATGATACGTACAGGTAAAACAATAAAACTTAGGAAGTGAGCCAAAAACACAATAGAATTAAGTGAATAGTAATTGTACAGTGCAAAATACAAGAACAAGCCAAAGAAAAACAAACAAAGAATATACATTTGAAGAAGTAAATTCTGTTGGATTGATGATTGAACTTCACAAGACTATACAACTAAAAAAAATGAATTAAACAGATATAATGGTGCTAATGAACTACTGTGATCATTTTTAAGGTGAGTTTTGTGTTACAAATTAATCAATTATTTTATTCTAGTCAACAACAGTTCTTGGGAAAAAAAAGAGTATTTAAAGCAGTTATTCGTGTAAATAAAGAATAAGGGATAATTTTAGAGGAGTCTATGCTGTTTGCCGAAAAATTGGCTCTAGTGATACCTTTGATTAAGAATATTTTCACCTCTTCAATCTACATCACCGAAAGGCTATTCTTTCTTACTTTTCTTGAGACAACACTGTAATGTTGAGATTAAGCATTGATGATGTACTTGTTTGCCTGTAGTGTAGCAAGTGCAGCAGCGCAGACCAATGCACTCGAGCTTGACAAGCCGGCCGACTGTGGGACAGTGCCATAAACCATGACATCCAAGCCAGGTGGAGAGACACCCAGTTCACAGGCTCCTGCGTCTTCAATGGCCGCTTTGACTCCGCACATAAAATAATGTTGCCAGCATGGTTGAGTGTCATCTATCTTGAGACCATCTATGGGCGCTGAGTAGCTTGGGTAGCGATTATCAACGTTGGCCAGCTGCAACAACGTTGTGTTGTTGCGTCCGCAGGCTAACAAAATGTCCTGTTGGACTGCCATGGGTAGAACAGCATATCCACAGTAGTCAATGTGCTCGCCAATCAGGTTCACACGTCCAGGCGCCCTGACGTAGAACTCAGGATAATTGCCGAATGTTTCGCGGTACTTCAAGCGGATCAGCTCCAAGCGCTTGCATTGGTCTTGATCTTGAACGTCACCCAGCATCACCACCGGTGGGCATTGCGCCGTACGCCTGCATAATGGTTGTGTAAAATTTCAGAACCATATTTCTCGCACGATGACACGGCTTCGATCGTACTGACGCCGTTAGAAAAGCATACGAACAAGTTTAAGAAAAAATCTGAATCAGTACATTTCAAAAAACCCTTTGCCACTAGGTGCATTTTCGATCCCGACTGCGTTTCTCAGCCACGATTGGTCCATTTGCTTAAGCTGCTGAAAGTAGCCAAGTGTGTTCAAGGAATCCGATCTGTGTCGGACTCCATCGCTGTTGATAAAGGTCGTGTTACACTGGTATACGGTGGCAACAAGCGGGTACTTTTAATCGCAATAAAGCTTGATGGAAAACGAATTTTTTGGAGCGATTAGCTCCTTTGTGGAGCCTGGTGGAAGGAGGACAATCGTGATCGAAAGCGCCTGTGCGACACGTACCGATAAGAACAAATAGATTTTCCCGAGATATATGCCTAGAAATAGATAAGCGCGTGTGTGCTCGGCGACACGGTGCGAGTTTTCCACCGTGCTTTGCGGGTTGCAGTCAACGTGCACGACGACTTATTTATTTAAATGAATATTTTAATGGCTGGTTATTCCAGCATGCGTTTGTTTCACATACACCCAGCCGTTTGCTAGTATAAATAAGAAGCATTTTCTGGGACAACGTCTTCACGACGGCGTCAGATGCAACTCACAGCGATTGAAAATAATGAACGTGGCACTGAACAAAGAAGGAAATACATTTCAATTTTTTCAGCAAGTATAAGCGATCGGGGACGTTTTAAGTCAACGGAAACCACGGGCAAAGTACTTACGCTGGCTCTTCCATTATAAAGCTTAGATACGTGTCCCAGCCGCCGAAGCGATGAGCGCGCTCAGACTTTGACGGGCACAAAAGCGCCGTCAGCACACCCTCGACTGCTTTCGACGCTTGCCTGCGAGCACTTCAGCGAAATCTAATCTTGCCAGCTGCGTGGCTGCGTTAAAACACCGGCGGGCTGACGCGTCGCACAACGCTACGCTCTGCTGGAGTCGGTAGTGAAACGAGATGGTTTCACATTTAGTGCGTTCGGTACTGCGGCTTAAGTCAGAGGTTACCTACGTCAGATGACAGCTTCTTTTTATGCGCATGTGAAATAAGAAGTGGGTATCACGTATCACCTCCGGATGCAATCGCGCCAAGACATAGCGTTATTTGAGTTGTTGCCAGTAGCAACCGCGGTCTTTTGCACCAATGTTTCTGGACTTGCCGCAGCGTGCGCTGTGTTTGGCGCGGAAAATTTAGCACGTGATCTGCGGCCACAACGGCGCGAGCGATCAGGCTTGATGGGCGTTATCGCTTTATCTTCCAACAGAGCTCCTAGCGACGGGCAGTGCAGGGGGTGTGTTTTGTGGTCATGCAGTGGCTTTGATTGCTTGCCGTAGTCGTTGCTAAGTTGAAGGCTTGACGCGCTCTTCAACCACAGAAGGACGTTACCGATGGGGATGCCTGTACGACCACAACGCGTGGACTTCTTTCACAACTGTTAAATAACTGTGAGGAAATTGACACCCAGTCACAGCGGAAATCAGCCGAGACTATCAATGGGAACCTGATCCGTAAGTTTGGAAGGTAGCTTTGGCATGCACGTTAGAATTCAGAGTGACTTTTCGTTTTCGAAAAAAAAAAAAATGGGTTGACGTTCTTTCTTGTTTGTTTTTCTGACTAGATTCTTGTGTTTTGTACACCCGCCAGCCTGCTAAAAATGTGGTTAGAGAAAGCAGTGCCAACTGTACAGCAACTTATGAGGCCATTTGGTGCAGTTTTTTTTTTTTTTTCTTGAATTAAGACTGCTGCCAGGAAGGCGGTACAGTGGGTGGTAGTAGTTCTTGAAGAAAGGCACCTAATTTCTTTCTGCCATACTTCATAATACACTTTATATGTTTGTGCGTGCATTTGTATGTGTGCCTGTAAATATAAGCAAGCAAAACTGAAAATTTTCGAACATGCTTGAACCCCGCCCCCCCTTCTCTTGACTAAACGCTCATGCATGCTTATTGCTGCCACATATTACCCGCATTATTCATCGCACCCACTAAACTTTGTCTCCCCCTCGAACGTTGGCCCTCTCTTGGAATCGAGTCGGTTACTCTTAATGATCGATTAACGAAGCAATAAATTCGGGTACTGAGGTCATTTGATGATTACTTGAAAAATTCGTTCCCTATACTTCAACAAAGGCGATTTTTGTAAATGGAAATAACATGCAGCGATCTTTCTTGCTGCTTTATAAGAATTGCTTTTAGTAACTTACCCGTAGTGAATAAGCAAACGATATTTTTTTTTCGAAACGAAGGATCGAGAGAAGAGGTGGACTCCAAACACAAGAAAAAAAAGCAGAAAAAAAGGCTCCAGCGAAAAAAACTGCAAGTGGCTTAAATGACAAATTCGTAAAGGGTGTGTGTGCCGAAGCCGACAAGTGAACTTGACTTCTTCAAGGCTTTCAGCTTGAAAAAAAGTCGCGTACACTAGTCTAAACGTCGACTCCGAAGTCCGGCACTCGGATTTCTCATCGCAAGCTTCCATATTCCCCTTCTCTCTTTCCTTTAGGTAGAACGTGGCGAGAGAGAGTTTCATATTGTCTATTTTACCCTCGTGCTTTATCCGTGCATTGTGAGTCGCTTTCGTTTCGCATTGTTTTCGGAAAGGATTAGTAAGCAGACAGCGCGAGATAAATTCGACATCTGCAGCTGCTTTGCGGTAAGAGGTATACAGGCGGTGTTTTAGAACCTATCCACGCCTTGAAATCTGTTGTATGTGCTGAGACGGCGTACCCGAACCGACGTTGTTGATGGCACTCAGTTCGACTTATTGTAATTTGTAACATTTAACAGCAGGGCTATCCTTTGCCGAGCCTTTCATGTCTGGGATCCGTGGTAACGCAAGTGGGCATCGTAACCCAGAACACATCCCACTGCTCAACACTTGTCTACTAAAAATCAAGAGTGCCCGACAAACACAAGCCACATAATTCTGTTTGGACTATCAGAAAACTGCCATAATAAACGCGTGTGTGCCATTGAAATCGGGTCTATGTTCAATCCCACTGCATACAACTTCCACTAAAAAGAGACAAATGCCGTGCGTGTGACGCCACTGTCACGTGGTACCGTGTGGTTGTAAAAGTTGGTGGTTATAAGCTACTTTACGGGCATGTTTGAGTGCCGTCATACTGGGCCGTCAACCGTTGTTTTGTATGTTTGGGTGTTGCGTCATGCAAACAAACGCATGAAAACGTCCTGGTTGGTGCATACAATGTTTCATGACCTTATCAATACCCGTAGTGGCATTACAAAACCAAGAAAACATAGGCTTCATGGCTCAAGATGGTGGCGCCCATATGTAATAAGGAAAATAGTCTGTACTGCCACCTAAAATCTCAACGAAGAGTGTTAATAAAGAGCCGTTTTTTTTTTTTTTTGCAAAGACGTGTTTCTTTGTAAACCTATGCGTATAAGTGTGGTACGGTCAAGATGCACTGAAACTATACTATCACATAAAATATCGACAAAGGGTGTTTAATAAAGGGCAGCTGAAAGACTCGCAAACACGCTGCTCGAAAAACATAGAAATTCGTTAGCCTGACGAAGCGAACACGGCCAGCTTCTCCGTTTTATCGGTTTCCGCGGAACGGAGCTGCTCCTTCCTATTCCCCCTTTTTTTTTTTTTTTCTGTCTGCAGATAGTTGATTGTGAGTGCAGTTTTGTGAACAAATATTAGAAGTCGCAGATTACAGGCTCCGAATCCGTGAATACAACGCCCCCCCCCTCCCCCGTTTTTTTTTTTTTTTGCTAGCCACGGCAAAAGCCACGCCCAAGCACTTCCGAATGCTTTTTGAAGTATTTGTGCCACGCCTAGAGCCTGACCGTTGATACGTGCAGTGTAATCGTTCGCGATAAAAACATCTATCGCACACCAGTCAATCTGTCTTTGATTAATATGTGCTTGACAAAACATTAATATGCTTCCGTCATCTTGGCAACAGTCGAGCCAATGGTATCAGTCGGCTCAATTTATCTCCAATCTCAGCACATATCTCTCGGCTTCCCATCGACTGTTGCCACAACGACTGCGTCGTCATAGCAAAAGTTCAGGGGCTAAATGAACGTGGCCGGACTAAATGTACGTCCAGAAAGACTGCATGCCATTGTTTTGGGCTAAGCTCTATAGAAGTTTAAGTACAGTGCATTCTAGTAGTGCTCCACATGCAGCTGGTTATATAGCCTCCTCGATCGCTAAGGTATTCAAACTGCACGAGACTGGGCGAAGGACATGGGGGGGGGGGGGGGGTGTATTCTGTTTCTTTTAATCCCCTCGCGACTCGAGATCAGCTGCGCAAGCGTCTGGACTTTAAGGCGCTCACATTGCAACCTGTGCACAACGGGGCTCTCCAGTCGAATCTTGCCGTAGTGTACGCAAGAAAAACAACTTTTAGCGCGGCATCATATTGTCACGGGGTCGTGACGTCGACGAAGGGAGCAGGCTGTAGTTCGAAAATCAAACTGTTTATTTGCGGCCGATCAACGAAAAGTGAGATTACAGCGATACACACTGGCGCTGAGATCGGCGAACTGAGCGTCGTCCGTCGATCAACCAGCAAGCGGTTAAGGTTGCACGGCGGGCTTGTTGGTTATTCATGTTGTTCGAGGTATTCATGTTGTTCGAGGTTTCTTGCAATTCACTGCAAAGAATGCGGGTGCCAAGCCCTCTTTAATCGCACCAGCATAATCGGAAGAAGCACTAACCAAATGACAAGGCTCAACATAGAAGCAAAATTTATTGCTAAGTTTGGGGACGCGTGTATAAGCAAGCCATCGATATCATTATCATTGAAAGAATTGCATTATTTGAATGTCGCATGAGTTGCAGTAGATCAATTTTCTGGTTCTAGCACGTGGTTGTGGCGCGCCATGTTTGGGTATAAGTATTGCTGTTTCTCGGATTAAACCGCATTGTTGAAGGTTGGCGCCGTGTATGTGTTCTGTGTTTTCTTCTCTGCCCCGTCCTGCATTCACTATACAACAAGCGGTGCAGTGCGTCGGCATTTATATGCATGCGCCGTCGAATATTTTATCGCTGGAGGCCACGTAAGTTCCAGAATAATCTGTAACGTTCGCGTCGCGCGCATAATCTTAAACAAAATGATATACTATTCCCGAAGCTTCTCAAACACTGCAGGCGCGGTTTAAAAAGCAATACAAACGAATGACATGTATTCAATCACTCATCATTCTATCATTGATCATTTGAGACTTCGTTGATTTTTTGAAACCATTATCCATACACTAAGACAATAACTTAAAAATACTAACCCCACGTGGGTTACCCGACAGTCACAGGCGAAGCTGCAGGAACATCCTTTCTAGATGTACGGTTGTGAGGCATACCCCATAAGTCGTAATAATCCCACACACGCCCCTTTCCGATTCTGTTTTACGTCGTTGGCTTAATGCACGTGTGGATAATACCTTACGCAAACCGCGCCAGCATTCCAGATTATTTTAGGATCAGTTAAGGCTTGAGCACTCAAACGCGAACAGTGTTCATTCTCGAACGAACCCGGCACCAGTGATGATGCTCGAATGTTCGCGGTCGCATGTATAAATGACCACGCGCAATGTGCGTGGTCATTTATCAGTTGATCACGCGCAGTTGATCGATCAGTTATCAACGAACTATATACGCTCAGTCCGCCGCTATGAGTGCCAGTGTGCATTGCTCTAACCTGACAAGTTCGGCCAAACAAAGTTTATTCTTGAGCGTGCACTGCTAGCTACCTTCCTCAACGTAACGACCACGTGACATGTGGTAGAGGTGCTTCCCGGTACATGTCGCACGTGACAGTATTGCACTGTAGGAGACTAGTCACTATGCCACAATTCACGATTCTGCTGAGAAGCGATACCTGTTGTGGGTTTCTGTTATACGCGCTTTGTTGATGCTGTGGCTGAGGACGAAGAATTGGGCTCGAGAACACTGTAATGGATGGGTACCCACTCGTTACGTAATTCGAATTGTGTGACGCTATCCACGCTGTATTACATATGCTAACTTAATTCCATGTCCTAGATGACGACTTTGTGTGGTCAAAAGCACCGGTGATGTTGTGTGGTAGAATAGTCCACTCCAACGCGCAGGACCGGCGTTCAGACCCCGCTCCTTTCTCGATTGGTGTATAGAAAGCGACTAAGTCATCAGAAGCGGCGGTTATGATTTAACAAGTTTTTTTTTTTTTCCTTCTGTAGAAGTATTTGGGGTCTGTGAAGCCTATACCGTATGCCAGAGCTGGTTAATACTGGTGAACTGCTCACTGCAGGAGCGTTTAATGAATTGAGGCAGATGCTCAATATGGTTAGTACACACTATACTGGCAGATAGCCATCATATTTTTTTTTAAATGCTAGCTGACCCTAATAATACAGTGCTGATACTGTTGTTTTTTTTTTCGATCCATTAGCAACATAATGATGCGCACTACTGTGATTGCGCGTCATTCCATTAATTTGCTTGCATGATACAAGATTTTCATAAGGAAATGGCACCGCAACCATGTTTTTTTTTTTCTGTAATGTTTCTCGGTGTTCGTCTGCAAAATATTATGAACTATACAGCTGGCCGAAATTTCCAGAGCCCTCCTCTGTGGCGTATCTCATAATCATATCGTGGTTTTGAGACGCTAAACCCCAATTATTATTACTACTTAAAATATTCCAGTGCTATTTTTCACGGGAACAGGACAGATAAGTCAACACTGACGTAGTTTGTGTCAGTCGAGCACTTCTGTCTTGTCCTCGTCAAACGCAGCTCTGAGATATTTCAACAAGTACGCTGGGCTATACCTAGATTTATGAACGCGGTGAAAAAAAAAAAAAACACACTCATGAGGCGCTTTATGGATTCTGTGACTGGAAGACGAAGTGCATCTTTTTCTTCTCCGGCGATTGCATTGATTCTGTACCGCCACCCTCCGAAAGCTTTTTGCACCCATTGTAGTTTTGCGCTTTCTCCGTGGTCGACTCGCCTCTGATCAAGCTATACGATGTCATATGATGGCATTATGACGTCAGAAATTTTGGCGACCTGTAATCTGATATTGATTGATTGATTGATATGTGTGGTTTAACGTTCCAAAACCACTATATGATTATGAGAGACGCCGTAGTGGAGGGCTCCGGAAATTTAGACCACCTGGGGTTCTTTAACGTGCACCCAAATCTGAGCACACGGGCCTTCAACATTTCCGCCTCCATCGGAAATGCAGCCGCCGCAGCCGGGATTTGAACCCGCGCCCTGCGGGTCAGCAGCCGAGTACCTTAGCCACTAGACCACCGTGGCGGGGCGCGACCTGTAATCTGGTGAAGGCATCACGTGGCATTTTTTTTTTTTTGCATCACTCGTGATGACGCCGCTGACGAGGGGTGCTGACACTGGACGCCAATCAATTTCCGCGTTTGACTAGGCTTTCGCCCCTGCCTGTTATTTTCTGGGACGTTGCCTGTATACGGCTATTTATATAATGTTTGGTTAGTCACTCCTTTGTTACACGTGGTCGTCGCGCTATGTATTTCCGCAATCATGTGTAACAATACGGCCTGTCAACACAGACCCAAGTGATAACAAGTCAACACAAACGCCTACAATCAATTGAAAGAGCGTACATGGGAGGAAACGAGGACACAAAAATCATTAGCACGTACGCAGGTATGGTGCCGCTATTTCTTAATCCGGTACTCCCGGGATTATACGCATGCCCTGCCGTGGTGGTCTAGTGGCTAAGGTACTCGGCTGCTGACCCGCAGGTCGCGGGTTCAAATCCCGGCTGCGGCGGCTGCATTTCCGATGGAGGCGGAAGTGTTTAGGCCCGTGTGCTCAGATTTGGGTGCACGTTAAAGAACCCCAGGTGGTCAAAATTTCTGGAGCCCTCCACTACGGCGTCTCTCATAATCATATGGTGGTTTTGAGACGTTAAACCCCACATATCAATCAGTCAATCGGGATTATACGCAAGTCATCACGTGACGTCATCATGACTTCACATAACTTCATGACATGTCACCCTTGCTCGGTCACAGGGTTGGTCTATCACGGAGACGATGCAAAACGGTGGGGTGCAGAAAGCTGGCAATCACGCGTTAATGCAAAAAGTTTTCGGAAAGGCGATTTCCTGGACTTTGGGACATTTGTATGAGGCACCATTACTCGACGGTATCAACAGTGTCCTGCCGTAACTAAATTGGAAATCGGCGAAAAGAAATCATGGGACAAGAAAAAAAAAAAAGCTGGTTACCGAACGTGTGTATGCAGTTGCACTCAAGGAGAAAGCTGCAGGTGATGCGGAGCAGTGGTTCGCCAGTTCGCGTTCACGGGTAAGCAAGCGCTGGCGTTCTAAACGTGCAGTATATATATTCGGCGTCTATGGCTGAAAAAAAAAAAGGTTATTGTGATGCAGTAAAGCGCTTCCCCTTCATTCCTTCCCCACACCCTCACTTCCCATCTCTACCCTAGAGATGTGATTCTTAAGTGAAAAGATGAAAGTTAGCCCCGTAACTGTTTGCATCATAGTGCGACACCTCAACAGTAGCTCATAAGAATGGGAGTAAAGAGGGATTTGAAGGGTATAGAGATAGAAAGAAGAGGAAGGAGAGAGCGTGGCGCAGAGCCAGCCACCTACAGAAGTAAGGTGAAGATAGGAAAGATGGACACGGTGGCAGGCGTCCTAGGACGGGGCACCACTCGGCGAGAGCTCTTGTCGGCGTCAGGTGATGGCGTAGAACGAGCCAGTCGGCCAGAGGTGCGCTGTCGTCGGAGATCACGGGGGAACAACCGGTTGGCACGAAATCCAGCGAGCGAGTCCATCTCTACCCTATTACTAATATATTCGACTTTTAGGTCGGTTTAAACATCGTACTAACAGCAGCACGTGTATACCGAAGCAACTTCCGGTCACTTCATTTATTACTCTCTAGCACCGATGCAGAAATCTTGCGTTTTAAGTTGTGCTTAAGTAAGGAGACATTTTTTTCCCGCTTTCCAATAAAAGGGAAGCGCTCAAAGTTAAAGGCTAACTCTTATAATGTTGTGTTGAGCTTCAAAGAGAGTGTGTGAAATATTTGACCAGGTGCAAGAAAAAAACTCTTAAAATTTAAACGAGCTGGCTACTCGTTAGAACTACTGTTCCTCACCAATACGGTAGACTACGCCGGCACACAACCAGAAGCCATCCAGCACCTGCGTTTGTAAACAGCGATGAGGTCTATACTGCATACGGCTATGCTATGCGCTAACCTCTCCTTCACTTCTTTCCCCTTAGCTATTGTGAACTACACCTGGCGATACATTGATTTCCACTCCCCTCCTCTTGTCTCTCCTCCTCAGCCTCATCTCCATTTCCCCGCACCGTCGATACCATGCTATGCGCGGCTGTGCTACACGTGCTCTTGCCTGCGTGACGCAATACGTGGCCATGCTTTGCACTCTGCCTTCCTCCTTTCCCTCTACTCACCCTCACTTTTTTGCATCCTGTGGCATGGCTATGCCGTATACATGGTTTGGCAGAGGGTGTTGGTTTGGCCTGCGTGACGCCATACGTGGCCATGCTTTGTACTCTTCCTTCCTCCTTTCGTTCCTTCTCTGCCTGCTTGCTATGCAGGGCTCTGCTGTTGTCTGCTTATAACGCCATGTGACTAGACGACGACAGCCTACGATGACAGCTTGCGACAAAGCATGACAGTCCGGGCTCATACAGTGTGTTCCGCACTTGAAAGGAATCCCGGTTATACGCAGCAGATAACCACTGGAACATTTATGTAAATTCACAGTATCGCACAAGAACGCGTTGAATTTTCAGGAAAAGTGAACACCGCCTATTAGCGTATGCTATATATTGCTCTGGTCTGTTTTCTCGTACATTTGTTTGGCTGCAGTTCAAATAGTTTTTCTCGGTTTTCCTCTTAGTAATGTACTCAGGCTCCTACCTCGAAATCCCTACATTTATTGTAATTAATGTCGCGGGAGCTTTGTTGACTTCCGAGCTTATCGATTGTATAGACTACAGGCGCGCTCATCAAAAAGTATTTTGGCCCTTCATTCTAGAATATATGTGACATGCGCACGCCAGTTTTAGAGACGTCAGGTACCAAAATCAATGGTCTGATTGTGCTGTTTCTTTTTATTCCGATTTGCGCAGATGATCAGGTGATCTTTCCTGTCTGGAAGCTGGCAGAAAGATCATGGAGCCGCCATCTTCAAATCGCAATAGGCGGCCCAGACCTCGGCATCGTCGGCCCGGAAATAACCAGCATGGCGACGGACCGCACTTCAGCTTTGCACGTCACTCCGCACACAGCGAAGTGCTCGGTGAACCTCCGCCGCTGAATTTGGCTGAGGTTTCTGATAACGGTGCTCAGGACAGAGTTGCGTCGGCACAAGCTGTTCGCGCTAGGTCCGGGGCCAGGGAGGGGAGGGGTGCAACGCGGGGGAGAGAGAGAGGACGGCCCCCATCTTCAGCAGGCTCTGGCAGAGGAAGGAGTCGGGGAGGCCGAGCCACGCAACACGGGACTCCGCGTAGCAACACTCGAAGTACACACCACGGCTCATTGGACGACGTTCCTTCTGGACCTTGTCGTCCGGAAGGTGATAACTGCCAAAACAGGAGCGTTCCAGGTGATGACTCTTCGAATAACTACTTCCATGACCGGTCAACGTTCCCTGTCGGGGCCGATCGTCCCTCGCGGAGCAAGGTGGTTTCCTTCCCGACATTTGCCGATATAATGGCCGCCATGACACTGCGGCGAGAAGAAATTGGACTTGCGAGCGAAAAGTCTGTCTCGTTGCATGTGCACGACTGCTATTTACAAGCGGCGTCCTCTGATGTGCGGGCTACGTTAGGTAGCTTTCACCTTGTACCCGACAGGGGCCTTGGCCGTGTCGTTACAGTTGCCAACTGCGACCCGGTCACACTTTGTGGCGCCGCCGTCGCCTTTTGCGACCCCGAAAAACAGTACGTATGCTACGGTGAAATCCTGAGCCTCGACGGGAAACTAGTCGCCTTGCTCTTCGATGGCCTTGGAGTTACCGATGACAAGGAAAGTCACGAGTTCGTTCTAGTCAATCTTAACTTGGCCGCAAACTACTTCATTAACCATCTCGCTTCGCTGCGTTCAAAATCATTTGATGACATGAAGCGAGTGGAATCGCTGCTTGAAGGAGAGGTATGCGTGTCTACTGAATCAGGACTTCAGGCAACACATGATGAGGCTGCAATACAAGCTGCCCTTGACTCATCATTGAAGAGCAATTCGGCCAGGACACATCCTCTTGATGAAAACCAAATGATCGCCGTGAAAGCTGCAGTTACTTCTCAAAGGGGTGTGTTAATTCACGCGCCTTCTGGCACCGGTGACAAAGAACTGCTGAGGTCCGCAGTGGAAGTGGCTCTCACTGTTGATAGCTTAAAGAATAGAGGGCCGGTACTTGTAATAGGCAATGGTATAACTCCTATGTTCAGAAACAAACCAGCTGGCTTATTCTGCTTAGATACCGAAGTCCGCAAATCAGCAGATGCCGTTCAGGAATCCGCTACAGCTATCTTATCAAAAGGCAAAATGAACGAAAGTCTTCTAAGAATGAAGAAAGTATTGAAAGACCTGTGCATTTTGAAGAGCACGATCCTGCACCAGTCTCGATTCCACGGAATCACTCGTGAGTTCTCAACCAAAAGGAGTGAAGAAAGAAACTGCGTAGAAAAGTGGCTGATGCAAGGAGTTAGTCGCAACGACATGTTGGCTGTTGTGTCAGTCGCCGATATTGATGCTTACCACGAAGACTGCCAGTATGCGTTGGAGGGGAGCGGTGTCTCTACCAAATCAAATTGTTTGGTTGGTTTTCGTTATGAAAGGGCTCAGCAAACTTCCCAAGGCACCGAAGGTTTTCCGGACGACTTAAAAGCAGCTTACATATGGAAAATTCTCAAGTTAACTGCTAACTTGCAGATTGATGCGGGGCACAATATCATGCTGCTTCAGAAGTGCCACAGGTGGCAGTTGTACAAGCAGTGGACTCGGAGCCTTAGGAAACGTGTACTCAATGAACTTGAAGACGCCCAAAATGAAGTATTAAACTCTTACCTTCACTGCGGCCAAATGCTATCGACAAATGTATCGCGTCCGCCTTTTGAGACGTCTGTGATTGCTGCCTCTGTGGCCACAGCTATCGCACATAGTGCCGTCATTGAGTCTATGCAACCTAAAGTTTTAGTTTTGTTCCGAGCGCATCAAGTCCCATTGCTGCTTGCTAGTAGCCTCTTCTGCAGCAGCATATCGAGACTCATTCTCATAGGGGACAACGTATGTTCGCAAGAAGCATCTTTATCACTTTGGTCTTGTGCGTTCAGCAGCCAAGGCTTCGAGCTGCACGAACTGAGCGTTCAGTATTTCCTCTCGCAGCCCGTCTGCAACCTCTTAGCACCGTTCACAAAAAATGTGTTGAAGTCGGGTTGCACTGCTGAGCCTCTAAGGGGTATTGCGGAGTCTGCTCAATTTTTTGACGTTCCAGAAGAAGAAGCGGTCTTTATGATATCTCGGTTGTGCCACCATTTTCAGACGCACGACTACCAACCAAGAGATGTGGCCATTGTTACGGTTTCGCCATCCACTGCTGTGGCTACCCAGATGGTGGCCGAAAAGCTGCGGCAAGTAGGGTGCACATACACTGTTTGGTCTCTAAAGAATTTATCGTCATCTTTTTGTAAAATCCTAGTATTGCTCGTTGGCTCGGGCGCTCCAGGCTCAGATCTCGCTGCTGCTCTGAGTAGGGCACGTTGTGCGGTGTACGGCTTCGGAAGGCTGGAGAGTGCCGATGAGAGCTGCCAGAACGTCTTCAACACGGCTCACGAAAACAACAGGCGTGCTAAACCGGCTCTTTCTCTGTCATGCGTGCGCCATCCGGGAACCATTGTGCGCATCGAGTCGGGAAATGATTTTGTAAAAAAGTTGCAGGAGACTGGAGGGTGCATGCAGCCATGTGGTGCTAAGAGACGCTGCGGCCACACGTGCCCAGAAATGTGCCATAAGGGAGATCATCCAGGCGCTTGTGACCGGCCCTGCCTGAAGCATATTTGCAGTCGTAACCATCCCTGTCCTAACAAGTGCTCCGAGCGGTGCCCTGAGCGGTGCTCGATTGTCGTCACTGACAAATTGCCTTGTACACACACGGCTACACTGCCTTGTTACAAGTGGGAACAAGGTTACGTGCCTGTTGCAACACCACTGTCTGCTGCTGCACCTGTCCGCCGATCTGGTGCGCTCAAGTACAAGTGCAAAATACCAGTTACAGTGAATCTGGAGTGCGGACACACAGCCCAGGTTTCATGCTTTGAGAGGCGGGATTCAAAGGGCACAAATGGCAGTGCCTTTGGGCCTATAAGTGCCTTGTCTTTGCGCCAGTACAAGTGCACGATACCAGTTATGGTAAGTTTGCCGTGCGGACACACGACACGAATTCCATGCTTTGAAGAACAGTCTACGGTATCGGCAAGTGCTTCGGCATTCAAACCTCCTGGCGTCTTGGCTCAGCACAAGTGCACGGTGCCGGTTACCGTGGTCAGGGATTGTGGACATCGGGTACAGATTGCCTGCTTTGAGAATCGGCTTAGAACGACCACAGCTGCTTCTGAACTCGTACAACGCGGAGAGCGAGTCGTCTTGCCTTCGTGCCGCGAATCGGTGCAAGTGACCCCTTCATGCGGTCATACAAAGACCATACAGTGCTGCGACAAAGCTGGATATCGGTGCGACGTCTCGGTATCGGCCGTGCGTCCTTGCGGCCACTCTTGCTACGTCTCTTGTGGAGCGGACCGTAGGGTATTCCCACCGTGTACTGTGCAAGTCAGTGTTGTTCAAGGCTGTGGCCACCCAGTTTACGGGACCTGCAACAGAATCTCCTCGATGAAATGCACAAAGTACGTTCATAGAATATTGCCTTGCGGACACAGAGTAGACGTGCCCTGCAGCCAGCCTAGTCCTCAGTGCCGTGTTATTGTTTCCAAGTTACTTCCATGCGGCCACGTTAATGTTAAGCCCTGCTTCGCGAGCGCTGATCCCTGCGAAAGTCGATGTGGTCACGTATTTCGCTGTAAGCACACGTGCAAACTGGCGTGCTTCAGTCACCCGCACGAAAGCAGATGCGAAGATTGCAAGGACAAGTGCTCCATTTCGTAATGACCGCAAATTCGGACAGACCTCAAACAAACCACGCTTTACCAATGCAAAATGCTTTCGACGTTTCTCAGCGTTATCAAGTGTGTCTACCATCAATTACTGTCGGAACGATAGCGCGAAAAGCCAAGTTGTTTAAGTATAGTGCTAATTGAACCAAGGTCCACAACGCAGTAGATGCTATACACCAGTCTTCGCGGCACTCTACTTATCTGCTATGTTTAGCGCGAGTACCTCATGTTGTTCATCATTGCTCATATTGCGAACGCTGTAAACTGCCGAACTCAACCGGACACGAATAAAGTGTTTAAGAAAATGCGTAATGAAAGTGTCTTTCGTTGCACTAGTTCTCACACGTACCGCAGTGTGAGTCAGCCAATTGCTAACCGTGCTCTATGGTTCTTTAGGTGCAACTGTCTGGTGAAATATATCTGCCAGCACAAAGGATTTATACCCGCCACGGTGGGTCAGTGCCTACGAGGCCCGTTCTACTGGAAAGCACGAGGTCGCTGGTTCGATTACTGGTACGGGCGACGGGACTCCGATGGCGTTCTACTGAAACCGCCGTGTATTTCAAGTCTGATGCACGTTAAAAAAAGTGTTGTGCGCGGAATAAAAGTCGACCGACACGTAAGCTGCACGGCTGATCCCCGAGCCTCGGGCCACGTTCCTCTTTATTAAGGCCAAAGTGGTAGACGCATCATCAAATGCGAAAATTGACCGGCAGCGATGGCGTCGGCGTCAACTCGAGTACTGCAACGCGGTCACGTTGTCAGGGATCAAAACGCGCGCAATTAATCTCTGAACTTTCCACTACCTTGCCAGCTACAGCCAGTGGCGTGAGCACTACCAAGAACATTGTATTGGGGAAAAATACAACCGTCTCGCAAACGTGTGGCATAAGTCGCATATGAAAGGTACAGTTGTAATTTAGTCGTGCGCCTTAAAATAAGGTCGTGCATGGTGATATCCACTGTGGGATACCACCACGCTTTTTCCTGAAATTCCATTCCAAAAACCATTCTGTACCACGTTTAATGATTTCTGTAAGAATGATTTTATATCTGGAAAAGTACATTCAGTCCTCACACCGTCCACGAAGGTAAGGATGTTAGCTGACCATGCGAAGAAGCAGTGTTGGACTGGTGGCAAATTTTCAGAGCACTGAACTAGCATGTTTCAATCTTGGCTCTGTCTCCATCGTGTCATAGCCTCTCTGGTAGATTTGCGCGCGCGAAGTGCATGGCGGCTATGCTCATCAGCGAAAGAGAGCGAACAAGGCAGGGATGTTTTACCAGGTATCTTCTGATTTGCCAATGCTTAGGTGAGAGACGGAAAGGGGCATAAGACGCACGAATTCGGAAAGGAGTCGTGCTGCAGCAAGGTTTGAGGAAAATGGCAGCAATTGCAATAGCAAACTCGTCGCGCAGTCTTGTGCGATCGAGGAGCCCACAGCTGTCAAAAAGTGCAGCAGCTGCTACGTGCACTGCCACGCATGTTACCCCCTGTTGAGAACGTGGTCACAATATCGTCATGCGCACACAAGCGCGCGCTTGACATCACGAAGGGGTTGGAAGTTGAACCCCCGCCGGTCACGTTAATGCAGTGAAGCACATACTCGTGTGTGCGTGAGCGCATTGTTCTAATGTCAATATGGGCTGATTAGCTCCTGAATCTTTCATGAATGCGTTTCTTGAACGCATATTCTCAATGTAAACGAACGGCAGGCGTCGGTCTCTTCGCTAGCGCCTATTTGGCAACACGACGCACGTCAACCAATAAAGTGATATACGGGGCCTTTGTACCGGCCTTATATTAACTAGGTATTTGGGCTAACCTGTGTACGTGCAAGCAACATGCACGCACGCACACACGTACGCACGCACGCACACACGCACCGCTAACCGTTTCGCGCTTTTCCCTAGCAAGCACACGCTCTGCGCCACATAAGTGACTCACTCCAAAAGAAAAAAAAAAGTGCTGTCATTTCTACATCATAACGGCTGCTTCTCGTGCGTCAGCAGTTCGGAAGGAACAACAGAAGAAACCAATGAAAGAGTACGCGTGTGTGTGCAGCCCATGGCCACTCTGAAGACGCCCATTAACCATTTATGCGGGTGGCCTTTGTCGTAGTTGTCTTTCTTCGCTTCTGTTACGTAATTCGCTTCCTCCTCCCGTAACGATAGAGTGCCGCTGATTGTGACGTCACACGCAACCTCGATCATATGTGTTTTCTTCCGCCAGATCACGTGGCACGCGCCGTCAACCAGCTTCGGAGAAACGGAAACTGAGGATGACCCGAAGGGAGTAACTAAGCGTCGAGTTGAAGAAAGCCGTCCCTGCGAGATTCGTATACGGCCGTGGCGGCCGTCTGCCGGCAGTCAGGTTTTCCGACCGCCGTTTCAGAAATGACTACTTCCGGGGAAACGCCCGTGAGGTGGATGGATTTCTCGTGTAGCTGTCACCACTGCGAGAATTGCGAGGTAATTAATGAGCGCGGGTTTTTTTTTTACCCATCGATCTCTTCTATGCGAGGACGGCTGCTTGCACAGAAGGGGTGCATGCATACGACCAAAAACAGGCAAAACAAAAACCCGGTTGGTTCTCTATGTATTCGACTCAAAGGCGAAAGCCATTTCTTTTCATTTTGTTAAAGAACCCCAGGTGGTCGAAATTTTCGGAGTCTTCCACTACGGTGTCTCTCGTAATCATATGGTGGTTTTGGGACCTTCAATCCCACATATCGATCAATTCAATCCTTTTTGTCATTTTTCGTCTCAGTTGATCTTTTGAACCTTCCGCTTCCCCCACCGACAGCTTTCGGCACCTAGCTTTGTTTTTCACTATAGCTCCGGGGTGGGCTCACCTTTGACCCGATATTGATATACCAGGTCAAAGGTGAGGTATATTTGATCTGATATCATTTGATCCGTGGCGTCACGATGGCGCCACAGATTTTGGCTATCAGTGAAGTCATGTGACGTCATCACGGTGTGATGATTTTTGGCATCATTCGTGTTCACGCCGCCGACATATGGGGTGCCCTCGCGAAACGCCGCCTAATTTTCGTGTTTGAAGAAGCATCTAAGACTTTCACCTTAAAACTTATGAAGCTTACGAAGCGATGATGGAAGAGCTCTAGTAGCAGGCAGACTCCTCGTCACAGCATCTGAAGGTGACTGCAGAGTTAAATAATGTGTAATGGAGGCGCTATCGAAATACAATTGGTAAGAATCGGTGACGAACTTTCTCAATAAGTGCTGTAATGTGCGAATCACTTACTGAAGAGAGGTGAGGCATAGCAGTGAGCATATGTAACTTTACTGCGTTAGTTCGAGAGCGGAGATAAAATTTAGCATAAATTGGACATCATGGTGGTTCGTGATAACTACATTACTTTACCGAAGCTGTACTTGCTTCAACTTACTTAAAGCTTACTTCAAAGTTCGCATAGATCTTATATATCTGTTTAAGAAAATGGAATACAGATCTAGCATTCTCAACTGCATTTTTGTATGATTGCCTGTATATCTTATGCTTTACATCGCTAGAGATTTTTCTTTTCTTTTACATTTTAGTTTGGAATGTTTGCTTTATTAAATTGTGACCAACAAACTGCTCCTGAAATCCCGCTTTACTCCGCAACATGCTCCTCATTGCGTTTTCGTACTTGTAAATTGCATCACGTTTACTGTCGACGGAGTGCACCGATTCGTGCCCTCTCCAGGTGGGTGAAGTTGGAGAAACCGGTAACGTTACTTGGGTAATTATTATTATGTACTCGACTATTTATATGTGACAATATTTTCGCAATAGATATAGTACGAGTCTTTCAATATTGTCAGCAAAAGTGGTAGTCGTACAGGATTATCCTTACAACTGGTCCAAGAGTTTTGTAACAATGGTAACGATGCAGCCCTGATTGATTGATATGTGGTGTTTATCGTTCCCGAACCACCATATGATTATGAGAGACGCTGTAGTAGAGGGCTCTGGAAATTTCGACCACCTGGGGTTCTTTAACGTGCACCCAAATCTGAGCACACGGGCCTACAACATTTCCACCTCCATCGGAAATGCAGCCGCCACAGCCGGGATTTGATCCCGCGACCTGCGGGTCAGCAGCCGAGTACCTTAGCCACTTTAGACCACCGCGGCGGGGCACGGTGCAGCCCTGCCCTGCCGCAGTGGTCTAGTGGCCAAGGTACACGGCTGCTGACCCGCAGGTCGCGGGATCAAATCCCGGCTGCAGCGGCTGCATTTCCGATGGAGCTGGAAATGTTGTAGGCCCGTGTGCTCAGATTAGGGCGCACGTTAAAAAAAAAAAAAACCCAGGTGGTCAAAATTTCCGGAGCCCTCCACTACGGCGTCTCTCAAAACCGTGTGGTGGTTTTGGGACGTTAAACTCCACATACCAATAAATCAATAAGTAGCGCAGCCCTATGCCCTATAGCCAGCTGGGCACGTTTATCACACATGCAGCGTTTCCTGCGAGTCCTTTCAGAGACTCTTCACTAAGCGAATGAAGTAACACATGTCCCGAAAGAGATTATCAACCCGGAATATACAGACGTGTCAAAATACGTGTAGCCTAAGTAAGCGATGCCTAATACATGGCAACAGTTAAGGGTCCTACAGGGAAAGCTAGATGCCAACCCTCACTTTCACGCATCTAGCACGACAACACTATTGACATCTCAAGGTCAAATTGCTCAGATCACTTGGGGTTTAAGTGTGGCTGCCCAGTATGAATAGTGCCTGCAAACATTAAATCAAGTTCGTATCGTGTAGAGACGAGAAATACACTCCTAAAAAATGGGGCTGGTAATCACCACGAGAGAAAAATGACGTGGACAGTCGATCAAATCAAAAAGTAGATGTTCTCCATCCTTGAAGAAAAACATCCGAGGTGACAGACATGTCTTTCTTGAAGGGGAAGAGCCAATTCGATTGTGTCCTGCCTTAATTGCGCAGTCTTGTAGCAATCCGCATGGTTCGATCAGCGGCGCGTTAGCCGTCTTATAGCGTTTGACGATCATCGATGGAGACGCACTGGACGCAGTCTGCTGTGACAGCCACGTCTCCGGCTGTCCACCCATCGTATGTACGAGCGCCCCGCTTTGAGAGTTCCACAGTTGACGTCCCGATGGCATTGGCGCGTGCGTTCGCACGTATGCAAAATAGAAGGGCGAGACTTGCCAGGTGGGCATCCACTGTCAAAGTTTCAAATCCAAACGTTGACGTCTACGGGTCACTGATTTGATCAATGCGGTTCATATAGGGCTGTCGTTCCGCTTGGCCGTCGCCTTATGTCACGTTGAAC